TGACCAGAGATCTATAAGTCAATGTCTGGATCAAGATCATTTCAAGGTCATAGCTCAATATCTAATTAGTATTTGGCGTTTTGGGGCTGAACGTGTTTTTGTGAAAACAATATGATTTTTCTTATGTAAAGTCCCTGTGATAAAAATGATATCATCCAATTTCTTCACTTGAAAAGAAAAAACATCATGAATCCCCCTCAACCTTTATTTTTCAACTTATTTTTTATGATTTCATTCTGGTTTGATTCCTTGACAACTTAATGATACACTACATGATTTTACTACTATATGTACGGGTATAAGCATCAAATGTGGTGCCACCTGTTGTTAATAACATTCGTAAACATAATGCTTGAATGTATCAATAAATTGAAATTGAAAATATAAATATTTGAAAATATATCTGAAATATTATTGATAAGATCCCCACCTTGTCACTTTTTGAAAAATATTAGGCTTATTTTCTAAAGTATTTTTTCTTAATTCGAACATATCAAAATTTCTTCTACGCTAATGAATTAACAAATTCTGAAAAGGGGACGGGTATTGAAATGCGATAAAGTTAAAAACCACAAGTTCCATGTTATTTTCCATTGGAAAAACTCAAACTATCCATTGTTTTCAACATAATTGTGGTCATTGAAAATTGATATCTCCAAAACTAGACTTTCATTACTATTCTACTAATGAAAAAGTTTTAGACCACTTGTTGAATAATATTTTCATGCAATTCAAATAAAAAAGAAGAACCTCTGTTGAGTAAATAATTTCAAAAAAATGTTGAGATGGGTTCCCCATTCATATTTTTTTTAATTGTTTGAATGATATTTTTCTAATCATTGAGAATTGAATTTTCTTGAAAGATAACATATTGTGTTTTTGAGAAATGTCATATTTATATTGAGAAAGTAGTCATGGTAAAATATATGACGATCAGATATCACTTGCCATACTATACCTGGTCCTTTGCAAATTTGAAGTGAATTGTAAAATCATATCAGAAGAGAGGACATCCAAATATGAGGTCATTAGTTTAATGACTGCAATCAGTAATCAACAGCCAGGAGAGTTACTTTCTCTAGTAATTCTGAATTGGATCACTATTGTATTGTATTGTATAATATGACCATTTAATTCACACTAGTTTCTTCATATGCCTGGACTAAAAAATCCCGAATCTGTTTGGGTGAAATAACCAAATGTGACCAATAATATGAGTATATTTGAGTATTGTCTCTTCACTTTCCAGTCAAAAATGTAAGATTTAAAAATATTTTTACAAATAATTGCAGTAAAACATGCAAAATATAATGCACATTGGTTATTGAAATGTAAAGATAGTCCATGAGGGTATGGTTATATTATTAAAAACAATTATGGTAAAAATTGGGTATTTCTAACCATATAATGCTTTTTATTCCAAGTTCAAAGACATTCTTCCTATTTTACCTCTGAAATGATTTTCATACCACCGAATAACCATTATATCAGTTTCTGGCAAAGTAAATAAGTGTAGGGCTTACACAAGGATCAACGTTTTTTAAGACTGTTTATGTACTTGTAGATCCCCTGCCGTTCTAAGAGGAAGAGCAATGAATTGCGATTTTTCAGTCAAAACAATGAAATAAACACACTCTGTTTATTTTGTTAATCATTTAACAAATAAAATTGTGTTTAACCTTATATTTTTTCAAAACATCACTAAATATGAAAATATTGCAAATAAAGTTGATCCTTGTGTGAGCCCTATATTTATTTACTTTGCCAAAAATGAATATAATGGTAATTAAAATATTTTGAAAACATTGAATAGGTGAAATAGGAATATTATCATTAACAACCATGACTTTTGAATAAATATGGTATTTTCAGGTCAGAAATATATAATTCTTCACAATTATTGTTTTTTATAAAAATGGCCACACGCAAATGGACTATCATACTTATCAATACCAAATTTGCCTCCTATATTGTATACCCATTGCTATTATTTGAAAAAAATAATTTTTATCAAACTCATCTTTTTGATGGTTGCACCTTGCTGCAAGCCGTTTAGCCCTTTCGTGTCACCTTTTTGAGTGCAGACAAGTAAAAATGAATAGTTGATGGACCAATCTATAATGATAATGGGTCACTTCATAGTAAGCTACCACAACATAGGTTTTTGTGATTTTCTGGGGTTTTGGCACACACTATTAGTCGCAACAGTCATACCCAGAACTTCTGGGTATGACTGTTGCGAATGTCTGAATGAATGGAGGTGGTGTGAAAGTGGTTTAATATTTCATCTTTGCCTTGTTTAATGTACTATTTTATGTTTGATTCAATAAAAAAAAACTTTATGACGTCACAATATGGGACGCTTACTAAAATTCATCTTTTGAAATAAAATATCCATCTACCTTTTATCAAGACGAAAAATAAGTATAATGGTCATATATTGTTTGAGTTATGAGCGTTTAAAGACGAAAAATAATTCAAAATGTAACGTGTCAACAGGGGATATTTGCCAGATGTTTTGGTAAAAAACTATTTTTTAAAAAAGAACGCGCAAGAATCGTGAACATAGTGTAGTTGATCTAAAACCTTCAACGAAACAGCTTTAAAATGATATATAACTTTAATTAGAATATCATCTTATAATCCGGGGAATCAAAGCTACATTCACGCGATACCCTTAAAAACAAATGCGCCACCTTTTTGCGACACGTCATAACTAAGTAAACACTAAGCTCAAGTATTAGAGAGTTCAACTTTTGTAGGTCAGTGAGGTTTATGACGTCAATATATGATAAAAACAACTCTAACAATTTTGTAAGTCGTTCTATTCAACCCTTTCTAACTTTTTACCATGTTAATGAAAGTCTTTGAAACGCTCTATTTAGTTAAAGTATACATACGTTGTACTTCTGAATGTTTGGTATGATAATAAGAAAATTTAATTAAATATGATAGATAAAGCGGCACACACCTCTTTTTAATTTACAGAGGGTATGCAAACTCTAAAATCGGTTTTGAATGTAAATGTAAATACGTGGAATTTGAGAAGACCTTGATGATAAATCAGGGTTACTTTTTAGCCTTTTTTACTATCATCATTTTATTTGTATGTTATACATTCACCCCCTTCCAGTATTTACCCTTGTCCGCTTTAAGCATTGTGAATATGTTTAATGACCAAATATGTAACGGGCAGTTTCAACATTGACATACCGAATAGAACGCAATCCATTGCTATTGACTTAAAGTGTGCTAGAAATTCTGTGGAGTTTACAAAAGTGTTTACTACAGATTAGACAATTTGAACGGTAGGCAAGTTTTAACCGAAATGTTACAATTTGAAAATGAATTAAAATGGCCAAAGGTGTATAAAAATATATGAACAGTTCCAGACCATATTATTAATATGTCAATTAATATTTTTGGAAATAAAACTGATGTTTCATCAGATATAGCTTGCAAAAATAGTCAAGTCCTGATTCGAACATTGCATTTCTACCCAAGGGAAAACATTTAATAAATTACCACTCCGAAAAATCTACATAAAATGTTGTAACGATCAAGTCAATACTCTGTTTATTCGTGTGCTCTTGGCAGAAATACCTGCAATTCGTTTTAAAATTTAATGTACAACCTTGTTTATATTGAACATTTGGGTGATTATTGAATTGTAATGCTGCAAAACCTGAAATAAAAATCAATTAAAAAGAAAATACCAACTCGTTCTTTGCTTGACCTGACTTTATTTTACTGACCTTTACTGGGTCAGACAATCAAGAGTTATGCAAGACGTATTTAAATCCGTGCAACAAATCAGTGCCAGTCGTGATAAATGGTACAAAATTCTACCGTGTACAATTTCTATTCTTGAGAACAGTCCAGGGTACATGTACATGTAGCAAACTACATACATTCACGTGTATCAAATATGGCCAAGTAAACCTTCATTGATAAGTATTCCTTAATTTTGTCAGTTCGTATCATACAGGGTGTCCCGAAAGTATGGGGCCCCCCCTAGGCAGACATATTCCAGTGTCCTCATAGTATGTGTCATATATCATTTTAAAGCTTATCCAAACTTACATTGATTTGCCAAGTATCATGGTTTAACTCCCAAATGGGAAAAAGTTACAGTCATTTTAAAAGTTAGTGTTTTGTCAAAATAAAGTTCAATTTTACACCACACTACAAGTCAATGAGTCCCCCTTGGCCATGTTAACAGCACCAATTATTTTCAGATATGACCTTAAAAGCCCTTCAAATAGGGGTGTGGAATTTTATAACCCTCTTAAAACCTGTTCAGGCACTTTAGAAGAGTTCCATTGGAGTTTCTACCCTCACCGTTCTCTTTTTCCAACTCAATATCTATCCGACCCGAAAAGAATTGCTGCTGTTAAGATAGCCCGGGAGGACACATTGACTAGTGATTTGGTGTTAAATTGAACTTAATTTTGACCAAACACTAAATTTTGAAATGCCTGTAATTTTTTCACACTTGAGAGTTGAACCATGATACTTGGCAAATCAATGTAACTTTGGATAAGCTTTAAAATGATATATGACACATACTATAATGACACTGGTATATGTCTGCCTAGGGGGGGGGCATACTTTCGGGACACCCTGTAAATTGCATCTTTAAAGATATTTTAAATGTTCAAGTTGTATTCTAAGAATGAGAATATCACATTGGAGAAGTTATTCATTCCTCGACGTCCTGTCATGTATCCTATTTTTACCCACGCTATATCAATTCATACACCAAAAGTCAATTCACATTATGAATTGCATGATAAAACAAAAGTTTATATTTGAGTTATATTATCTTTTTAATAACACATTTTGACAGTATTGACTCTTTAAACCCATAAACTGCCATCGCATAAACACCCACTATATTCTCCGGCACGCTTTAAGTTTACGCGTATTATGTCATCCCACGTTAGCCAATACAACACTAGCCATATCCAATAGAATTATCCTCATTTTAAAGTGAGATGTGATGATGTCGAGTCGGAAAATAAGCGTAAGTAACAAATATTCTTATTATTCGGGAGTAAAATGTTTAAATACTTTCAAATGTTGTTTCAAAATATTGGAAAGAACATAAGGAAATTGTATGGAACTTTTTTTCTTGAGAACTTTTCTTTTATTGTTTACATGTATCGATAACATAAATACTACTGCGCAATTAATTCAGAACTGGTAAAAACTACCCTTTGCATTTGTGGATCATTTATTCTTATCTTTAAATTAATTTACATTATTACATTATATTTTTTATAAATAGTTTATAACTATGCTCCCGGAAAATTAAAAGATTTTTTAATTGAAGAAAAAATTAACGCAACACAAATAATGATGTGATAAAAATGTATTAGATTGCAATACTCTATACTATTAAAATAAGCTAAGCTATACTTCGTATTTGTTGATACACACTCTTAGAAGATAGCTTTAGAACTAACCTCTGCACTTCGGGTAAATATATACAGAGCTAGTTCAAATATTTTGAGGTTGTTCGCACTTGCATAAAAAATGAAAATTGGGGACATTTTACAAAACTATTTCCAAAACTCTGTAAATATCCATACGAAAAATACTTATTTTATTAATATGTAATTGTAATTATGAAGATTAAATAGAAATTCTCATTTGCGGATTTAGCTGAATCTTTAGAATTATGGCATTGAGATTTTTGTTGTTGATGCAAAGATATTTTGTAGAAAGACGTGAAGCAAGCTCGCTTCAGCTGTTCAACTGTTCAGGAACTACATGTTAAAACCTAAATAATTTAGGAAAACTCAATGATCGGAGCTGTCACCCCCCTCCTCCCAGTCAAATCAACTAATCTTTACGGACAGGTAGTTTAAAGCCCATCCATAGTCAGTACTCGTTCTTAACTAGTTCTAGCTCGTTTCACATGCATCGTTACACATCCAAAGTAGGATCGAAGTACGGCAATTCTTGGCGTTCAAACGGCGTTCTCAGAACGTCCATCTCGTTTAAGATACGTTGTCATTCGGTCTTATTGCAGGGGTTGTAGCTCTAGAAGACCATCCCGTCAGGGCAAGTCCATGAAGTTCGAAAAATAGCTTTCCGGTTCTAGCCACGCCTTATCCATTCGTAAACAATTTAACCCGCTAGACAAAACGTTTCAAGAACGTAGCGAGAACTTATTGTGTGTGATATTTTGTGTTACCCTACTATCACAGCAAGGTAGTTGTAACTATGTTCTCGAAAACAGGCTTAAACTGTGTACGACCAAATTGGACGTACGTACTAAGAACCGTTTGGGGTCTATTTACAAACTTCATGAACTTACTCCAACGGGTACGTCCACCAAGAACTGTATTGTGACGTATTGAGAATGAGGTAGAACTAACTGCAAAAGTGATTACGGACTATTAAAAGATATCAACGACTTGACAAAAATATGACCATTGTGCGACCTGAACGAACAGAGAATGAGATGAGCGAATTGAAGACTATTTTTGAACAAAATAGCAAATTATTTTAGACATATTTCCCGACCACAGACAGATTTAGCCCGTTTTACATTTGTGTAGGACTGGCATGGATAGATTTAGAACTAGTTTGGTGATAGCGGGGGGTGGGGGTCGCTTACTCCCAATCGGTCCTCAATTTTCGAGCGAATCTTCGTTGAATTGGAAAATTGGTGATTAAATGCAATCTGGATATTTTGAATGTATTCATCTTTTTTTGCTTTGAGTTTCCACTCCGTTTGTTGTATCCTTGTGTGTGTACATCTATGTTTAACGTTTACGCTCTGTATTACTTAAAGGCATCTGATGTAGATGGCGGACCAGGCACCACCACCGACAATGCAGCACTTCATCCGGATGTTGCAGATCAAAAAACAGAGGCTTGGCCGGGATATAAAAAGATAGCTATAGTTGGTATTGGTAAGTTGATACAGATTATATAAGTACCTACATTTCAAAATGCAACCCTGTAATTTGGAATTGTTTTTTGGGAATTTCACATGTAGGATGGTCAAAAGATGGAAACCCTTTCGCTGTTTTCTTCATATCTTTGTCAATTTAGGGAATAACCCCCTGATATTAAGTACATTCAATTAACTACTTGTCTTTTATATTCCACGACCATCAAACTGATAGCTTTAATGTTACAGCACTTTAAGAACATGCCCCAGTGGCCACTTTTGCGCTGTAGACAAACCAAGGCCGCAGGCCCAAGGTCCAATATTTCACTATTTTGCCCGCAGAAATGACGTTATTACTATTATTACCACCGTTAATGACCAGGGCTGAAATAGCAAATTTGAAATAGAAAATCTTACGCACTGAACGATATCACTTTTCCCGGGAAACATAGCCGGGCGGATAATGTCATTATTGCCCGACTAAAGTCATTAACGCCCGACACCATATTGCTCATGTCAATATAGCAATCTAAATGCCTTCTCAACTAGTACTAAAACCCCTAGAACAGGCCCTGCGAGGTGGTAATAATAGGTTTTCGTAAAATGCTATTCCATTTTATTTCATTTATAAGACACCATTTCCACAAAAGAAAGTGGGTGTGGCTTTCAAGATAAATGTTTTGAATTTGAGTTGTTATGAATCAATCAACCAACTTATCAAATAGTTAAAACAATCCAAACATGTTACTAAAGATACGAAATGTTAACATTGAAAAGCGTATTGATTTTACATGAAAGAAGTTTGAGGTCAACGTTCTTCTACGTATTTAACTTTGCAAAATAATTCAATGTCAACGCCTCTAGAAAAAATTCCCATAATACATTAGGATAAATATTTGCTCCTGATAATGAAATAACTATTGAAAAAACTGTGTGTCTAACGAAAGTCCGTAAATATGTTTCTGATACATTGTTCTTTTCAATGATTGATTTAATGTTTTGAATCTGAGTTGTTATAAGTCACTTAACCAACTTATCAAATAGTTAAAACAATTCAAACATGTTACTAAAGTTACAAAATATCAACATTGAAAAGCGTATTGAATTTACAAGAAATTTGAGGTCAACGGTCTTCTACGTATTTAAAGAGATCGAGTCGTCCAGATTTCCATTCTAGACAATCAGTAATGTCCCAATATAATTGCTCATAAAACATCATACATACCTTAGGTATATCTTGAGACCAAATCATAAGCACGATATCGACAATATATTGAGGATATCAACAGGACAACCAACTGTCAGAATTGAACGCAATAAGTCGAAAACAGAATAAATACAATGTTTCTTTGGGATTTATCTATATTGTAACCCTTAGAAGTAATAAATATGGCTTCTCTTGTCAAAATAAGGAAAAGCCAATCAGACTGGAACAAATTTGAGCGGGCTTTTTAAATTTTATTTGAATTTCTATTGATGTAAGTGGAAATTCATCAAATTGATACTGTTAACGAATTATTTCAAGCCTCAGAATTGATAAGTTGATAAACAAACTTGTTTTGCATCAAATAACACGAAAAAATCAGGGGGTTACTCGAATTGTGTTTTTAGGAGACCCGATCTCTTTAACTTTGCAAATAATTCAATGTCAACGCCTCTAGAAAAAATTACCATGATACATTTGTATATTTATATTTATCAATTGAGGTTTATTTTGATCGACGATTGTAATGATTTCATACTAGCATGACATCTATATTAAAGTTTGATTACTTATCCGTGAATTCAATGTACTTTGTCTATACACATGTATTGTGAATGTTTGTTTCCGTCATGCGCATTGAGCAATTTAAAAAAATACATGAATGACGTGTATTGACGAATCTAGATATTTTCTGAATAAAGGTTTCATTTCTAGGTTGTCGAATGCCAGGAGATGTAAATAGTACGGATGCTTTCTGGGACGTCATCTCAAATGGCAAAGACACTGTTTCCGACATCCCACCAGACCGTTGGTCGACTGATGCATTCCATAATCCAGAGCAGTCGAACCCAGGTACCCACGTAACCAAACGATGCGGATTCATTCAAGGTATAGACCAGTTTGATCATACATTTTTTAAGATTTCACCTCGAGAAGCCGCCATGATGGACCCACAGCAGCGCCATACCCTAGAAGTTACCCAGGAAGCATTTGATGACGCTGGTATTGACCCAAATACTCTCGACAAAAGATGTGGAGTCTATATGGGGATCGGAATGATGGACTACCCCTCCATGATAGTGGGTGATGCAAATCTCATAAACCCATACACTAACACAGGTTTTGTACATTCTTTATCAGCAAACCGTATTTCTTTTGCATTCAACCTAAAAGGACCGAGTTTGGCTGTTGACACTGCGTGCGCATCTTCCATGACAGCTCTCCATCTTGCATGTAATGCCATCTGGAACAAAGAATGTGAAGTTGCAGCCGTAGGAGGAAGTAACATCCTACTAAGCCCTGAAATGACAGTTGGGTTCAGTCAACTTGGAGTTCTGTCTCCTGATGGAAAAGTCAGACCATTTGATTCAGAAGCTAACGGCTATGTAAGAAGTGAAGGCTTTGGAATGTTAATTATCAAGCCACTCGATGCTGCTATCGCTGATAGGGACCACATTTATTGCTCCATACTTGGGACTGCAATAGGAAGCAATGGACACAACCAGAGCATCACGATGCCATCGAAAACAGAGCAACTACAGCTGATACAAACTACATACCCGAGATTTAACGTTTCTATGAAAGATGTTTCCTATATTGAGGCGCATGGCACTGGCACTCCTGTCGGAGACCCTTCAGAGGCCAAAGCTATAGGCGAGGCGTTTAGGTCGCAACGATTGGCCGCTGATAAACCTCTCCGAATAGGCTCAAATAAGGGAAACTTTGGACATATGGAGTGTTCGTCAGCTGTCGTAAGTACCATCAAAGCTGCTCTTATGTTGCATAACAGAACCCTATGTCCATCAAGCAACTTCAACAAGATCAACCCAGCAATAGACTTACACAAGCTCGGCATCGAAATACAACAGGAATTAGAACCCCTTATGAATGACAAAAAACACGTATTTGGTATCAACAGTTTCGGATTTGGTGGGGCATTGGCTCACACAATCATTGAAGAATATGCAACGAAGGAGATGCCTTTAGGATCAGCTGGGTGGAAATTTGGAGAAGATGGCAGAGAAGGAAAAATGATCCCAGTTCCCCTGTCTGCAAAAACGGACGCAGGACTAATCGATCTTGCTAAGAAATGGCTAAGGTTCGAATCAGATAAAGATGCACAGAGTATTGCGTCATGGTTGGCCACTCGTAGAACTCATTTTGAGTGCAGAATCGTCATAATAGCCAAATCTGGAAAGGATTTTCGTGAAAAACTTCAACGTGCCATTGAAGGAGAATCCTACGATTCAATTTCAAGAGGGGCAACTCCAATCAGTATTGAAGAGAGAAACATATGCTTTGTTTATCCTGGACAGGGTCAACAATGGGCGAAAATGGGCGTTCAATTATACAAAAACGAAAAGATCTACCGCGAAAGTATCGATCTATGTGATACGGTTTTTCAAAAATTGAGTGGCTGGTCCATTGTTGTAAAATACGGTGTTTTCACAGGTAAGCAAAAAGTTGATCACCATCTCGATCAAGTCATCAATAATGCAATTGTATCTGTCCCGGCTATTGTCTTCCACCAGATTGCACTGACTAATCTGTGGAAATCATGGGGCGTCCATCCCCGTGCAGCTGTGGGGCATAGTTTGGGGGAGATAGCAGCAGCGTTTGCATGTGAAGGTGTTACCTTAGAAGAAGCAATAGCGGTTGCTTTGTACAGAAGTGAGGAACAGGCAAAACCTACAGATAATGGAGGTATGGCTGCAACTAGAATGTCAGAAATGAATGCCCGAGAATTCTGCGAGAAATTCGACGATTTGTATGTTGCATGTATAAACTCTCCATCATCTACAACTATAGCAGGACATCTTCATACAATCGAGAAACTTTCAAAAGAAAATCCCTCCACGTGGAAGCAACTTAGAGTCAAGTCTGCCTACCATTCCCCATACATGGATAGAATCAAAGAAGGCTTTACCAAACGACTAAGTATGAAGCTGGTCAATGACGTGGAACCAAAGATCCCAATGTATTCAACCGTGACAGGTAGAAAAATGATGAATGGTTTTCATACTCAATATTGGTGGGAAACCATCAGGAAACCTGTACTGTTTCAACATGCAGTTGAACAACTCTTTGAGGACGAATTCAATGTGTTTGTTGAATGTGGAGCCTCGGCCACCCTTTTGACCTCTGTCATTAAAACAGCCAAGAATTTGAACGTGTCATCACCTATCGTTATTACATCTTGTCAACGAGAGAAAGATGACTATAACAACATGCTTACTGCTGCAGGCAATCTACATGTAAATGGTGTTTCACTAGACTGGGGGAACATCACCGGAAATTGTCAAACATGGGCCGCATTACCGAGTTATCCCTGGCAGCACCAGAAACATTGGGCCGAATCAGAGTCTAGTAGACTGAAACGTTTGGGACTCGTTCGAACGAATTTCAAAAACAGCAATGGTGATATTTCCTTGAAGGATTATCCATTTCTCGCTGATCACAATGTTTTAGGAAATGTTACATTTCCCGGTGCAGGGTATATAGAATACATCACCCAAACATGCATAGCGGAAGATGAAAATGTGTCCTTCTCTGAAATAAAATTCAAGAATGTTTTAGTTTTTGGTGAGAAAGAGAAGCAGAAAAATGTCCACATAGAACTCATTAAGAAAGGCGATCATATATCAATTGTCAGTGGCGAAACAGCTCATATGGAGGCACGCATCAGTACAAATAAACCGACGACAGGATGTAATGATCAACCCATATTTCCTGAGACTGGATCTGCAAATGTGATTAGAATGAACAAAGATGAAATATACAAAAATTTCGATTGCGTCAAGCTGAAATATGGACCTGCATTTCAAGTACTACATGAGGTATTATTATACGACGGGGAAGCCATTGGTGTGATTCGAGGCGATCAGCACCACGGAGAACGAATAGGCAGTAATATCTTAGATGGTTGTTTTCAACTCGTTCTCATCGCAAGTCAAAAACATAAGACATCAGCTTATATTCCAACCAGCATCGGTTCCATTGATGTATTCTTGCCTAGGATGAGAACAGAGCTTCCACTCAAAGCATGGGCTAAGATAGTTGACGTCAACTCCTTCACTATAACAGCAGATATCACAGTCTTCTCAGACAATGAGGAGATTATCAGAGTCACAAAATTGGTTTGCCAAAATATGGATGGGATGACTCCTGGTATAGACATAAACAACTGTGTGTATACAACATCTTGGCAACCAATAGAGGCAAATCTTGGTTCAACTGATATAATGAATTATATATTGAATCCTCGAAACCTCAAACACAATTACCCCGAGGAAATGAAGCAAGTTGAATCCCTTGATCCATGCATTGAGAGAATAAGAGGAATTTGTGCACGCTTTTTCAAAAGAGCACTAGAAACGATCAATGAACTTGATTTAAGCCCAAGTTGTTGGATGCAGGTTACGTGGCTGAAGAAAATTGTCAGAGAGGATAGCATGTGTATCAACATTGATGACATTGAAAGTATGATGAAGGATATTGAAAATGCATGTCCTGAATCCCAGGCTGAACTCAGGCTATTATGGAAACTTGGAAATATGTTACCAGAAACTCTACGAAATCAGACACACACATCCATTGATGAAATGCTTGGTGACGATTTATCCCTTATCAACTCACTCACCACGCGTCTATACGAGAAAACAACTTCAGATTTAGTTTATAAGGCGATTAGCCAGTCATTGCAGTCAAAGAAGATTGTACGAGTTTTAGAAGTTGGGTGTCGCATGGATACACTGGCTCAATATCTCTTGGAACCACTCCAAGGCTTAATCAACGCCGGGAGGGTTGAGTATACATGTACAATGCCGAGATCAAGCACCCTTCCAAATGACTCAGAGATTCAGTACAAAGAGCTCGACGTTGAGCAGAGCGTGTCTACTCAAGGGTTTATTCCACATTCCTACGACATCGTCGTATGTATGGACAGTTTATCCTTAGTTTTGGATTTTGAGGATAGACTGCGAAATGTGAAGGACCTACTATGTCCCTTTGGGTGGTTGGTGATTTATGAAGCATCGAACTCGCAAAACATTTCAAATATCACATTTGGATGTCTTGAGCGATACTTGGTGTCTAAGCAAAATGGCCACCGGCTTCAGAAAACTCACCTCGAGAACCAGTTAGAGAACAGCGGATTTAAAGATGTTGCCCGTGTGTCAATTCCAAATGATTTTTTCCATTCAATTATCATTGGGGTAAACACAAATGAACAATGCTCACAAAACAATTCCTCTGTTACTAATGTGGTGATATACTCAGAGCAACTGAGTAATATTGATATCGTTGATCCCTGGGAAATTGCCTCGAGTAGAGCAACCCTATATAATATCATAGACAGTGCAAATGAGCCAGTCGATGTTGTTCACTTATGGGAGGAAATGAGTTCCCTTGAGGATCTTCTAGATATAGTGAAATACATTTCTAACACACCAAACTGCAATAGCTTCTCTGTTGTGGTAGATGAAAACACCATCAGTAGTTCAATCCCAACTGGGTTTCTCAGAGTTGCTGTGAATGAAATAAAGCACATCCGAATCTATACATTCAGGGTTGCAGGATTCGAGGGAAATGATGTACTACCTGAAGTTATCAGCATTATTCAACATGGGGACATTCCGGATTCAGAGATTATGCTTGACAATCGCAATAGTAAGGTTCCCCGAGTAATGAGAGCAGAAATGCCTAGCCAAGGAACATTAAAGTCATCGAGATGGTTGATTGATTTCCAGGGTCCCCATGCAATAGACAACTTAATATACAGGTCGTTGCCATCTGAACCACTGTCAATGGGAGATGTACGAATAAAGGTATTAGCAGCTGGAGTCAATTTCAAAGATATCATGATTGCAACTGGAAATCTGAAAGATCTCAACATCACCCCTCAGTTTGGCATTGAGTGCACAGGTGTTGTCGCAGAAGCACATGATTCAGTTGGAAATGTGAAAGTTGGTGATAGAGTTTTGGCGTTTGCAAACAATTGCTTTGCATCAGAGGTAGTATGTGACAGCAGACTTCTAGCTAAATTACCCGAGAGCATAGACATAAACGTTGCAGCAGGAATGGGTATTGTGTTCTCAACAGCTTACCATGCCCTTGTTGAGCGTGCCAACCTCCAAGAAGGGGAGACTGTTCTCATTCACTCTGCATGTGGAGGTGTTGGTCAAGCCGCAATACAGATAGCAACTATGTGTGGAGCAAAGATCATTTGCACTGCTGGTTCAAATAGGAAGCGTGATATTCTGAGAGAGCAATTTAGAATCGAACACGTGACTAATTCACATTCACTCACGTTTGCTGACGACGTAATGAAATGGACTGCTAACAAGGGAGTTGATGTCATACTTAACTCACTGAGTGGCGAGTACATCAAAAAAGGATTGAAAATTCTTTCTCATGGTGGGCGTTTCTGTGAGATAGGGAAGCGGGATATTCTTGATAATTCAGAGCTTGAACTGAATCCATTCCTTCAGAATAAATCTTTTCTCTCTGTTCAGCTCGATGTCCTGATGCTGAACAGACCGGAAAAGATGACTAAGCTGCTTGAGAAAGTTATGTCACTCTTATATAATGGGGATGTTCGACCAATCCAAACAGAACTCCGGGATATCTCTCAGTACAAAGAAACACTGAGATGGATGATGACTGGTCAGCATATTGGAAAAGTTGTGTTGAAGATTCCGATGGACTTCTCTCCTGATAATGTCCTCCCACCGACAGAAATGTTTACAGATGACGGTTGTTATCTAACAACAGGCGGCCTTGGAGGTGTAGGTCTTGAGGTTGCTCGTTGGATAGGACGTAAGGGAGCCAGACATATTGGACTACTATCTCGGCATAAATCATTAACATTCCAACAACGATGCACAATGCAGTACCTTCAGCGATTAGGTTGTCAAGTAGTCCAACTTCAAGCTGATGTAGGTGATAAGCGTGCCCTTTCGAAAATCATTGGTGAGCTTGAGGAAACAACAAACAAGCCTTTGATAGGAGTTTTTCATCTAGCCGGAAACATAGATGATGCAAGCATACAAAAACTAACAAAAACTCAAATAACCCAAATACTTAACTCCAAAGTTGATGGTGCAAGAAACCTGCATGAACTAACACAAAACAAAAACTTAAAGCATTTTGTAATGTTCTCGTCCCTGTGTACTGTCATAGGTAACGCAGAACAAGGAGCATACTGTTCCGCAAATGCCTACCTTGACAAACTCTCTGAACACAGGCAGTCAGTTGGTTTGCCTTCATTGGCTGTTCAGTTTGGAGCCATACGGGGAGCGGGGTTCCTTGAGAGGAATGCAAAGGTGACAAATATTATGGACACCAGGGGCCTATTGTCTCTACATATCAACGAGTGCATCAACTTCCTTGAGAAAGCCATGAGATGTACAACTACCCCGGCAGTCATAGGATTTTCTAATGCGGTAAGAAAACTTTGTAATTAAACTTCTATATATGATAAGCTGTCTTTAAATTTAATCCATTTAGATCTTACATTTCTCATAGTTTTTGACAAAACATGCACATTGAATAAAGTAATAGCAAACTGAACATCCATACATCCTCCATGGTCTTGAGAATGGGAGCATGTCTGTACTTAAAGTATTTTCCCACCTTTCTTCCAGGACTGGAACCTTATACAGGGAATGAGCCATCCAAGTCATATGCAGTTTCGTCATTTACAGAAGGTCCAAACTCAAAAGAAAGGTAACTGCATGAATCCCTTTTGTTTCAACTGATGATTATCCTTGTATTGATCAATCGTAAGAACTATATTGTTGAAATAATTGTTGCAAGTAACAAAAACAACATCTGAAGACAACATTTAAAGTCATTGAAGAAAAATTGCTTTCAAATAAAATGCCCGTTATTTGTTCATCACTCACCGCCTAGACTTATTGACAATCATTTGAATGGTGATACATTTTCAGTAAAATGCCAGAATAGCAGAGAAGATCTACATCTGATGATAATAACAAAACTGTCCGAGATCTTGTGTACATCTGCTGAAACAATCGACGAGAATAAGCCAATGACAGACTATGGTGTAGACTCTCTCACAGCAGTAGAGATGGTCCAATGGGTCAATAAAGAGCTGGGAATGAACATTTCTCAGCTGGACATTTTAGGGGGAATGTCAACTGGATCATTGGTAGACAAGGCTATGAAGGGAAAGATCCCATTGTCCGAAAAAAACTGAATTTGTAACCCTTTGATACGCTCCCATAAAAACGGTTTGGCAAGAGGCAAGATTTAAACCATGTAAAAGCATTAACAAATTCTTCAAAGTTGTCATAAATGTCTTCAGGTCTACGGCACTAATATGTAGCGATTAACGTAACTTAATAATTTTACACAATATTTGACCTTTTCCCATTTACAAACTTTTATAGACCTGGAGTGGGAGAAGGGTGATTTTCAATCAATAAGAAATGTTCAATGAGAGTAAGTTCAAGCTGTTAATATACTGGGCCAATAGATTTTATGTTAGTGCGAGTATAATTGCAACGAAACAACTTCATCTATAACTAAACAACATTTGTTAAACAATCAAGTCTACATTAATGTTGATTGCATGTATGAACGAAGTATTGAAAAATCATGGTATGCTTAGTATGTTAATTGATTTTTTATATTTTAGTTCTTTTGTTAAAACAATTTCGTTTATGCCATATATTTAGCTCACAATTAAGCTATTGTTATTATCCACTTGTGAGCTATTGTTCGTCATCGTCATTCTGTTTGTCTGTCAGTACTTGTTGCTACTTGAAATCCTTACGACAATCCATTTGGTTTAACTTTTTTAAATGTGTCTATATAATGTTTTTAAAAGCCCCAAAGGTACAGCTCGCCTCGCTAAAAAATGACGATTACTTTTATTACATAAAAATCAGGTTTACAGCTTTTTGTCATGACTCCGCAATTATTCCATAAAGCTTAACATTTTCCAGGTACCTTTCTGTAAAGGTTTGAAATAATGTCTACAAGTATTGGCAAAAATACTATTTGTATGTTGCAAATATCCAAAATGGCCGTCGCTTTAATCACTTTTTGTGGTATGAATCCAAAATTATTGCAACTGGTTACTTAAAATTGTACAAGCAGATAAGTATACAGGTTAATAATCTGTCTGAAATATGTCTAAAATGCATATTCACCATGTGAGCCCAGTACCCATGGTACTATTCATTAAATATTGTAATATAGTTCAATACGAGTTTTTGGATCGATGTATTAGATAAAGCAGATTCCTCTAAATTATATTGTAAACACTGTATATATTTAGTCTCACCTTGCAAAACAGAGGGATTTGATGTGCACCATATATACAGAGTGGGACAAAAAAGAGCGTCAATATTATTTGAAAATAAACATTTTAACAAGGCACGGGTATGAAAAACACATCCGCTGTTGGTGAAGCAACCAATTTTAAAATCCATTGTCAAATCTTGGGAGGATAATAATTATCGACAAGTAAAAAATATTGACGTTTTTGGTCCACTTTCTAATTAGTCATAAAGTATAGGCGAAACGCTGGCAAGGGGAATTATCAACGACTGGGTGTTGTTTGGGTTTAAAGGAGTTTGTATAGAAACCAGCAGTCCAAACCATCCATCTCTAATAACAGAAAGAATGGTCAGATTATTTGCCTCATATTGCCATATAATTATTTGCTCTAAGATGGAGGGAAACGATTCATGAACGTAAAAAATAAGATTTAAAAATAGGATATTAATATTTCATTCTATTGAGTTGAATATCTGTGCATCTTTCGCATCGTGAAGGTTTTAATCTGGAATAGAATTAAAATATGTACATTTATATAGATTTTAACCTCTGTTTATAATATGCCATAGCTATAATAATGATATCCACTGTAAAATGTAAATTAATTTTAAAAATCCCATAAGCTGTGTACCGTAAGGTATTCACCTGTTGTCTAATAAGCACGACCAGTGAATATCGCTTTATCTCCCATGGCACGTGACAGGATTTTGACCAATCATACAATCGAAAACTTAACAGTAATGAATAATATTCCATCAATATTGTTTTAATTACTTTGAAATGAATCTATGTAGTTTTAATAAAATTAAATAAGTGAAATAAAGAATTTCTCCTCTTATGTTTGATTTAGACAGGGATGAATAAAAGTATTTGCTTTCCAATTAGACTATAGATCAAGAAAGAGTTGCTGAACATTGCTGCCATCTATTTATCTGTATTACATACCTAGCGAAGCATTTGTACGGAAGTCAATGGGAAAGTTAGCGAGCTATATCCACCGATATTGCCCGATTACCCCGATATAGCCCGCTTACCTCGTTTTGATATTAGATTTCTTTAATAACCATGATAATATCATGACGTCACGTCATTGATACAAAGTGACCATGTGAACAAAGGCATGTAATACATCAGTTATGTCACTATGACGTGAAATATGCCTTCGTTCTTGCCCAAATATAGAGCCTCCCAAGGTCGGCCTATATTGGGAGAACTCAGGCATATTTCACGTCATAGTGACATAACCTCTAAATATAGCACTTCATATATACCGATACCTTGCAAAACAGAGGAGTTGCACCATTGTACAGAATGCACGGTGTATAACCCAAACGTTCCTACATGCACGACGGAGCGTTTCATTTACGCGGAAACGCTCCGGAGCGAAATAAAATGACGGCTAATGAAGATTCCACTATGACCGTAAGTATTGTTTCTCTCGTTTCTCTTACATATCATATGTTATGGTGAAATATTATGTACCATTCGATGAACAATACCGTGAGGAAAGATCTTATTTATTCAACTTCTGGTGGTAAACTGTTATTTGCTTGATCAAAGCTCCGTACTTGTAGATCGAACGAATCTGAAGATGACGATTTGACCACAAATTACGAATTAAACTAGTATTTCTGTTAAAGTAGTAGATCACAAACTCATTTCCTAAAGTCCCAGTCCAAATCCATTACTTGTTCTCGAGAAATCGCTTGTTTTCCTCAAAACGCTCCGTCGATTTAGAACACAATTTTAGAAACGCTCTTACCATTTTGTTTTGATATCATTTTCAGATTATTAGAGAAGAGTTCCGAATCGAATCTTTCTCTCAAAAACGTGTTGTACTTGTTAGGCAAATTGAAACATCTGAACCTGGTGGTGCTAAACGTGCAACTAGCTGATTTAAGCCTACATTAGATGATGTCATGCCTACATGTGTGCTAAATCATAGAACTATAGAAAAATACTAAAATTTATATGTGAATTAATCTTTCTTCTTTTGATGCCAAGGGGCATAATAGATCTTTTCTTTCGCTTCCTGAAAGGGAAAGGCAAGCTATATATTTCCTAAACTGATCTAGACTACCGGAGCGTTTCCAGTTCACTGTGTTAACCAGATCGGAGCGTTTCTTGAATATGAGAATGTCATCATTTTTAAGACTGGATTTCGGTCATCAAATCACTATTACGATAATGTATGGTGCGTTGAAGCATTGGAATTTGACTAAAATATACGTTGGTGCTCTAATCTTGGCTCAACTAATCACATGTATCGACAAAAGGGTTTTGACCGGTAGAATGACAAATACGTTTTTGAATTTTGATAACTTTACTGCTTCGTACAGCTCTTCCTAATTGCTTCAACCGTCAACAGCCAGCCAAGTACAACATGAATATCACACCCATCGAATGGTATACTCGAAATATGGAACTCATACCTCTTATTCCCATTATTGGGGAAATCATCAGATGGCTCATCATTCCCGCCAGCCAGTTTTCCTAATCCGGAGCTTTTCTTTGTTTAATTTCAGTTATGAAACGCTCCGTCGTGCATGTAGGAGCGTTTGGGTTATACACCGTGGAATGGGACTGTATTGATTATGTATGACGTTTTCAGAGAGTATATAGAGCTAGATTCAAAGCACCGTCCCTGTAACTTTCAAATGAAAATATTATAAAACGGCGAGGACCTCAACTTTTCATGTATACACTGACAAAAACTTAAAATTCTCGCTGTAAAGATATAGTCCCACGTGGAAGTACACGTCATAAAACTGATGGGTAAAGGCAATGTGCCGCCCCACTGCTGTAATTATCTCTTACGCCTTCCCCTATACGTTATATTAGTACGGTTTGGTTTGTGTCGCTTTAGAATAACAAGTTGGTATAGTATTATTGCTAAATCTGACTGGTCAGATCAGATCAGATTGTACTGATCATGATATAGGCCTAATTATGAATGAATGTCAAAACTGACTCAACACTAAAACAGCAGAAAGTGTACAATGTTGCAAGCAATGTTTTCAACTATTTTGTCACGTGACCTTAAAAACCGAGGAATTATCCTGAAATATATGAATTAAAGTATGAACTTTTAAATTTAATCGTATGTTATCAAATGAATGCAAAACAATATAAAATTGTGCAAACTCATCATTATCCATATACTCTATTATTCCATCACTAGAGTCCATTTCACTGCTTCATTGCGTCAGTAGAACGGCAAAAATAAGAAATTGGGAGACCATTGTGCAATAATATATGGAAAAGTATATTCATAATGTACATGAATGACATTGTATATTTTAGATTTTTTAGTTTTTTGTGCAATAAGCCTGTGCCGTCTTGTAATTTGAAGAATTTCAGCCATGCTAATCTTATTGAAAATAACATGGCAGAGAAGCATCCAAATATAAGAGGCCACACACTTTATAAGCCAAACTAGAAGCAATCCAAGATATACAAATGTCATTCATGTACAATAGGAATATATTTTTCCATATATCATTGCAAAATGATATTTTGATTTCTTATTTTTTTAGCTTTTACTGACGCAGTTAAACAGTGAGATGGACTCTATCCGTTCTCATTAAAGGTGGGGAATCTTAAAAATCTATAAGTGGGACTCCCTTTATAGAAGCTGATAGCTCAGGAAAATAAAAATCTTCGAATTTTATCTCTACAGTCCTCGTTGCCCCTTTAAAAATAGCTTTATTCTAGGCACAATGACATCTTTCTACTTTCATATTTTGTAAAACTTCAAGCTTTGTGGCTCTCACAGACCCATCCTCTGGAAAATACAACAACGATAAATTTGAGTACTTTCCGGGCGTACAGCAAAGACCAGTTCCGTTTCCATTCACACCGCGTTGCAGCTGGGACAAGTAACTGTGATGGTAATGTTGCAGAAAATTGTATGGGCATTCCCCCGTACAGAAGTAAGCGTTATACATTTTGGGTGCGACGATCCAATCCCATCCAAAGGAGCTGAAGTCAACAATGAGAGATTCGCGGCAACAGTTGTCAGAGTTCTCAAAATCTGAACAATCCCGATTGTAATTCATTCTTTTCTTCCTGTATTTGATCCCCCTTTGTACTGTCATATATATCACTGGTCTCTGGAAAAGAAAAGTATCATAGATTTTCTAAATCTTAAATTGTTTCATTATCGCTAGGGTCGATACTAATTTTTCAGTAAACATGGTTAACGTTTGGTAAAACAATGACTTCAAATGGTGCATAACAATTTTATAGGACTACAGTATTTATAGGCAATTATTTTTTTAAAACATGCGAGGTCAAGGGTCTTTACTTAAAGTTAATTTTCTATAGAATCCAGAGGAAACCATAAAAATTACAACGGAATTGCATACAACATATACCAGCAGGATACCATAAACTAATGTCTGGCTCCGATTCAGGGCGCCAAAGTGAAAATCGGAGCAAATGTGACCAAGGCATTAGGAATACCTTACAACACCTCGGGATACCATTCAACTTACTAACGAATACCATACAACACCGCGGGATACCATCCAACTTACTAAATGATACCATGTAAATGTGATTTACCAGTGGTTTCTCCTCGTCCTTATCTGGATGTGTTATGGCTAGACTCCTCCCATTTACGCTATTCGCTTTTACCTCTAGGCCCAAATTGGAATTAGGGCGTCTTATCCAACGTTGAACCTGCGCCAGAATGTCGAATTTATGCCAGTATCCGTTTCTATGTACATCATTAATTTGTCGTATGGCAACTCGCTCTACCTCACCACTCCTCTTTATATTGTTAATCTTCAAAAACGAATTCGAATCTCCTGTTTCTGTGTGGTTCCTCGTGTAAACATAGAGGCTGGCATTAAGGATTGTCAGTCGGGATGAATTCAAGAATGAGAACCGAATGCTTTTGTCATCAAAATGTCTAAGTGGTTCGTCACCTGAGGTAAAACACAAAATCATTTATTCAGCTGTAAAGTTAGTATAGTGTTCTGGGTATATAAATTACACAATGTAATTATACATATAACCAATCCTTTTTTCCAATAAGGTTAACAACCGCCAATAGCTGATCATGACTCGGCAGCTCACCCAAACAAAATGAATTGTCGCTGATTTGACCACGCTTTTGATATTTTTCAATGGATCGTCGCATTTTTTATTATAGGAATTTTCATAAGAGTTATATAACACATGAAATGTATTCTGAGATTTGACAGAATAGCATAAATATTTTCTTTTGTTTCTGGAAACTTATTTACAACGAATTGAAATTAGATCTGGAGATTATAAACAATTAGTACAAGGAGAGCGTTTTGTCTTACTTCGTATCATTTTTATCAGTTTTGACTTCATAGTGCAATGTCACGGCGCGGTATCCAAACAGCGTGCATAATATGCACGCAGTTTGATACTCTGACAAACTGCGCGCATATCAACATTGCATCATATACGTTGGAGTCTTTGTTTTCAAACGACATTTTAAGACATTTATTCTGCATTGATTTAAAGTTTCATACGTCCATTCGGTGGCGATTATATGATTTTGTCATGTGATAGCGAAAACTATGTCCAGATGAACATAGGTTTTAAAATATAAGCAGTTTAATAAAAACAATTCCATCGGTTATTCGATTACCAACACATAAGTTGATATCGCAGTTTTCACAGAAATAGAAAATACTTGGGTTTTGTTTCATAGATAATTCCCAACCCAGTTCTCACGTACAATGCATTCATTTTAATTACGAAAACAGCGATATAGGTCAAAATAGTTCCAACGTCAACGTGAGCATGTTTACTACGCGTATGCCCGTCATCTCAGAATTGAGCAAATGGTAGCATACGCGAGTTACAATAAATGGACGCTGATATCTTTAAAAGTTACCCGACTCCCTATAATGTGAAGGCTAAGATATCAGCGTCCATTTAGATCAATCGAACTCCTATATGAACAGGTACATTTTGATATATAACACTATGGGGTGGGGGTAAGCGTTTCATAGTTGGTCAGAATGCCATATGTGCAAAGTAGTGTTCAATATTTTCGAATTGCGTGTTGGATTACGGTACTCACACCTTAAATCAGATAATCATGATACAAACAGACATTGTATGACGCAACATTGTATATTATAAACGCAAAAGCTCCTTCGGAACCTTAAATTAAGTGCTACTTGTAAATTAAGTTAGTCTCCACATAATACAAGGGCCGATCAAAATGTTTCTTACCGTTGGCTCTAGATTTTATAATAAGAGGAGTTGGATGCTCAAACGTTAACATGAGACAGGGTAGTAAGTTTGCTTGAGACTGTCCGAGTTTCATTTAAATTGGTTCATTGGTAGTGACTTATAGTCAATACATACACTCCCCTCCATAAGTTTGGCAACCTTTTTCCCCCATTGAACTACGTGTTAAAGCCTCTTTACCTTTGAATTTTTATTTACTTAACCTGCGATGGAAATACTTATACTATTGATGGAAACGTAATTTGACTTTAATTCCAATACCTCCAAATTTTCTCAGTTTTTTTCCTCAATTACAATAGGTCGAAAATTGATGATAAATTTGATGAATTTTTGAAAATCGACATTCCCATGTTAACCAATGGGAAATGGTAGGTTTGCCGCAAGTCATATGACAGAATATCCATCCATCCGAGTCCTTGCAAAAAATACATGGGATTACATGGGAATGACGATTTTCAAAAATTCATCAAATTTATCATCAATTTTCGACCTATTGTAATTGAGGAAAAAATTGAGAAAATTGGAGATATTGGAATTAAAGTCAAATTACGTTTCCATCAATAGTATAAGTATTTTCATCGCAGGCTAAGTAAATAAAAATCCAAAGGGAAAGAGGCTTTAACACGTAGTTCAATGGGGGAAAAAGGTTGCCAAACTTATGGAGGGGAGTGTATTTTCAATGATTGAATTAGGTGGAGCAGCGTTTTTATAAAAAAATTGTGCTAAGCTGCAGTTTTGGAAATTCCTAACACTAAGTAGTGTCATCTGTCAACAGACTGTAGTTTTATCATTTTTAATTAGTTTTTCTGCTACATGTAATATTCATTCTCATTCAAATTATTCATCCTCAATTGCAATGCGCTTCCTATATCTGTCCACTCGATCCAAAAACACATGTTTAAGGCCTTCGTATGAGAGGTTTTAAACGATGTCTGTAAATTTCCAGAACCACAACTCAGCAGATATTTTATATTCAACGCTGCTCCATCTAACTTTGTCATTGAAAATGTGAATTGACTCTGTGTCACTACCAATAATAATTCTGTCTGATAAACAAAACTAACCTTGTATTTCCAGTACTTTTCATCCTCTGGGAAGTCGTGTCCTCCCCGTCTGGTATTTTTTTAAATATGCCCGCAGTTTTGTCAGTGTTTCAAACTGCGTGCGTAGTATGCACGCAGTTTGGATACCGCGCCGTGAATGGGCTGTTTCAAAATTTCTATACTTTAGGAAGGGAATAATAGTTTTGTTTAATTGAAATGCATTCTCCTCCAAATGGCAGTCGTTCTCAATTGGAAAACTTGATAAGGTTTTAACTTTTGAATTCTGACTTTCTTTGAAAATGTAACTTCTAGGTTGGTTTGATTCCCAATAGACAAAATCACAAAAAGTAAAATATATTTTCTCGTATTTGACAGATATTATTTTCTTTTACTGAATACTTTTCGGTTGTATAATTCATTAAACCCAAAAATAATAGATCAAAATTGATCCAATAAATCTAATAGATATTGAAATTTAGAGGAACTTTTTTCTATATTTGCCACGTTATTTTACCCGAGTAATCCATTTTGTGGTGGACGAATTCTTATTTACATAGTCTCTTATAATGTTTGATTTATCTTTTTAAGTTGAGAAAACATTTGAGGTATTATAGATGATGTTAGATACATTTTCAGCCTCAAAGTGTGTTTTTTCCGTTACAGGTAATCACAACAAAACCTCAAGAATTTAAAGAATTTAAACTTTTTGAGGGAAGTGTACTACAATATCACAGAGAAAGCACATTTTATATTTTCACACCAATGAATCATTCAAATATGTAGGCACCAGTATAAAAGGAAAATAATCAAATACTGTTAAAGAACACAGCAAGATAAAAAAACATCCGAGTGTGAACATAGAAAAACATGTAAACCAATTTTACGCGTAGCACTCACATCTTTCTGCGAGTACGAATTCTTCCGACGTCTCAGTATGGCTGGAATCCTCGTCCAGCGTGTCCCAACGTATGTCGTCCATTGCCATGTTACTCTCTCTTCTCGAATTTAATGTAAGACGTTCAATCTCTTGAATGAATGGAGGGTTCCTTGGTTATTATTATTATTATTATATTTATTGCCCCTCCAATCATGGAGATAATATATCATTACAGTATATAATAAATGTAATAAAAATAAAGATTTATAAAAATACAAAGACAAGTGGAAAGCATTGATACAGCAGAACCCTCCTGGTTAGCCCATGTTCTCCCCTGGGGGTCCCACTGCACCACTGTGCGAACCATTACGATTTCATGGTATGGTATAGGTATCCCTGTGACATTTGGTGGTCGTTCTAACCGCAACTGTTTTAAAATCTCCGATTTGATTATTTCTAACCGCATCAGTCTCATTTGTCTCAGATCGCTATCTCTCTGCTTTGTGCTGCATACTAACTTCGCTAATAAGATGACCGACGCGCAAAATGTAACAACTTTAATATTACCCATTGTTAATTGATTTTTTGTTTGTTTTTATAAAGTTTTGCTAGGGCAAATACAATACAGCGATTATTGCGTATTTCAAATAAACTGCGCATGTTTATTCTACGTATCTGGTTATGGCAAGTTCTTTAGGACTCCTACTAATCACTCCAAACAATAAATATATCTTGTAATTGGTATTTAGTTATTAGATTTAACGTTGTGATTTAAATTCAAGAACATCTCAATTATGTTACATATTGTAAACATGTAGGTTAAATAAACATTGAACACAAAAATAGAAAAATTGCTAATTTCTTTACGTGGAAGTGCTTTAATTTCTTTGGCAATTTTAGCCAGTGAGTGGGCATTTAAACCCCAAATGAATTAAAAGGGGGGATACTCCAACTTGGCGTAAGGATATTTCAAAAGTCACTCGCAAATCCTAAGATCACATGGAGAAAACAAAAAATATCGCTCGGCAATTGCGATCAACTTAATAGAGCTATTAAGATTTGCATCATTTACTGAAGTGGCACTTGAAGATTAGAAATCGCAAATACATCGTACATGTTTTTTTCCAATACGACTACTTGAACAATTAATTTACTCGCATATTCAAAAAATCAAAATACAAATGGTGTTGACGTTAAAAATCAGCCTTTCATTTATTTACAGATTTTTCCATTTGTGACGAAAACTCACAAATCTTACCAAACCTTTAAGACTGACTGTCGCTCCTTTCCATCTTTTCATTGAGAGATGTTGTGTCCAATTTCACTGAACAAGTTGTATTTCTCCATTCAATCAATTTCTGGGATATTGGTGATTTGTGTTTAGGGCCCGTTCTTCATTTATATTTTCTAATTCCATCGTTTTTTAATAAATTATGATTTCAACACGAAGTGAGGACGAAAATCTGTCCTACAGTCTTGTCTTTAGTTTTCACATCCAGATCTATCCTGATAATCGCAAAGCTTTAGTGTCGGATTAAAGAACAGATTAGCGGGGCAAATTTTATGAAATAGGTCGCCGTCTTTGGTGTAGTAATAAAAGAATCTGCAGTCTTCGACATCCGGTATCACCCTATCTAAGTCCGTTAGATTAGTTCCAGTTGGTAAATCTATATCTGAAAATAGAAATATTTGATACAATTATACACCCTCTCCATATGTTTGGCAACAGGAAGCCCCCCCCCCCGGATCATGAGTTTAATGCCTGTTTATGTGTAACGATTTTTAAAAAAAATTCATAGAAGTTTTCATAAATATCCAACTTTTGTAGGCTAATATAAGAACAAAAAGAAGATTTAAACCTCGACAGGTTTTACAACGCTATAAAATGAAGACTTTCAATTGCAAAACTCATGAAGAGGACTGTAGTACATCGATCAGTTGCACGTTGGTCATGAGAGCCGAGTGTGGCATGACATGTATGTCTGAATCTTAATTTTGTGTCGAACTCGAGATTTCTTCTAAATCGCCACACATAAACGGGCTTTGTAATTGACACGTAGTTTGAAAGTAGATTTCCTATTGCGAAACATTTGACGGGGAGTGTACGTGTATTTTTTCATTTCTCATTTATTCCAAATATAACATAAAATACATTACAATATTATTGCCTACGTTTTTCAACATTGTCGGCAATATACAAAACATATAAAAATGGAAACAATGAAAATACAATAGATAAGGTACATAATATTAATGGCAGGGAATGTTAGAGGCTTTCAGGGGGGGGGGTTAATCTAAAATATCAAGAGCCTGGCAGATGTAATGGCTAACTATATGAATGATTTGTTCATTATCAGTTACAGTGAGATTTCTGTCTCCAAATAATAAAAATTGAATTTTTTCATGAGAGTTTAAATTTTGGAAACGATTGAAAAATCCTAAGGTTTTTAGTCCTGCTAGGAGAGTGCATCTTTCTTGTTGCAGCAGAGGGCAGTTTAATAAAAAATGATGCGTTGTTTGTTGTATGTCACCACATACGCAGAAAGGGTCATTTACTGTCACAAAGTTATGGGAATATAAATGTGCTTTTAGAATCAGTCAAGCTCTAAATCTATTGAACAGAATTTCAATTTTCCTTGGCATTGTCATATTCATTTTAGTAGTGGATACTCTGCAGTCAGGGCTCATATTTCCTCTTACTAACCTTTTAAATCTAGATATTGGTTGGCCTTTCCTGTCCTCATATGGTATGTCATCCCACAGGGTCATAGCCCTGATAATGGTTGACTTTTTGAACGAATTACTGATTGGAAAGGGTATTCTATAATGCCTTGGTTGTCTTAGGGGCCGATTTTGAATATTCTGGTATGAACTAACTAAATCAAAAATAAAAGGAGGGAAACAATGGTATCTAGCCTTGAAAGCAAAAATTTTAAGATGTTCTTCTCTCCTGGAAGCTAACGTTTTCCAGTTGAGTAATGATAAAACTTTCGATGTGTTTGAACCGTGTATTGCTCCTGACACATGGCAAGCTGCTTGATAATGAAGTCTATCCAATGTTAATAGTTTTGAAGTTGATGCCTTATCATATATTGTATCACAGTAGTCGAAATGTGGTAGTATAAATGAGTTATATATATTCTCTAGGTATTTACTGTTTAGCATTTTAGTTAACTTTTTCAATGGTCTCATGAGAGAGATTACTCTCTCTCTATGAGTTGGTCAACATGTGAATTAAAGTTTAGATTTTGATCAAGTACTAAGCCCAGGTGTTTGTGTTTGGTGCAACTAGGAATCACATCTCCTCCTAGTTTTAAAGGGTTCCGATTAGCATCCCGTATAAAAACAATATGGCGGCTCCAGGCGAATCAACTGGATCAGTCCATTTTTAAGAAATAAGGGGAGTTCTGTAAAATCCAGTTTATTGAAATTGTCTTTGAGATAAAGTAATCCGTTTATAATGATTTTGAAAACGTTATCCAAAGAGTGATTGCGTTCAAAGAATACATGTACAACAGCCAATATAAATCCTTGTATTAGAAACCGGTTTGTCTTGCTTTGTTTCATTTGTAGGATATTTCATATGCCAAGCTGTGTGCTATTACGTTATGGGGAAATTTAGATGCCAATTTTTCCTTATTATACACAGATAGAAGATCCTGAAACTCCACCCATAAATGTGGAATTGATTTGTCAAAATAAAAATCACCCTTTTATACATGTGTGACGATCTATAATATACTTATGCTATATAACAGTTAGAGGTGTTGACACAACGACCTCGGACCTGTGAACCCTTGAGTATTATTCCGGGATCGGGCCTTTTATACTAAACGGTGAGCAACACCAGAAACGAGCGTTCGATTTGCTAAACGATATGCGTCACCCTTTAAAGGGACTGGCTCTTGTAATAGTCTTCTATTTCCTGATACAAAGGTTAAGTCTGCACTTTTTTGTGTATATTCTATCTGTGATTTTAGTACATGTAAGACGATCACTTACTAAGACCGGGAACACATTCGGGTTGCTCCCCCGACCATTCGAGGGTCCCATCCAGACAAACTCTTCTATGACTGCCCAGTAACGTATACGTCTTGTCACAATCAAACTCAATAGCATCGCCGACCTCGTTCCGATCAGATGGTCCAATAATAGCACCGAATAATGGTGCTTCCAATTTATGGCATTTCATATCTGAAAAGGAGGCAATGGTAACTATGAGCCTCAATGCTACTGATTAATAGCAGGATGAAACAAAGTGGTTATACATAAAATAATGGACAAACGTTTGATTTCGAGCGTATTTTATACTTTCTTTTATATCACATATAGTATTTTACAATATTTGGAATACAGACTTTTTAATTGATGTCGATTAAAAATTTTCCACAATTTCATCCTGGTGCAATCCCCTTTACCTGTCCGCCTTTGAAACTCATCGTCATTGACGCATATTGGGTCAGGTCCGGACCAGTAGCCATCTATCTGGCATGTTCGTGAGTCGCTGGGGAACGCCTTTAGTGCGCCTGCGCAATCGTATGTAATAGTCTCGCCTGCTTGGTAGGATTGCTTTGAAGGTGATATGCTACTGTAATTGCATGGTACTGGGTGGTAGCAACGAACCGCTGGAAATAAAGGTAAATGCTACACTTCTCAAAAGAGAATTTTTTATTCTCCATAAGAAGTCGGTTAAAACATGAGTATGAATGTTTGATCCTCTTTTTCAAATTCATTATGTCGGGGATGAGATCTTTGAAGTGGAATCATAGCGTTCTGTTAATGTTTAAAAAAATTACTGTTTTTACTTCCGAAAAAAAATAGTCGTATTTTTCAAGATTAGTGATAACTCTAGCCCTGTGTATTTTTTAATACTGTTATTTAACCCTCGTTTCTTCAACATTCAAAATGGTTGGAATACGAGTATAGGTAACTAACAATTCAATGCTAATCAATATATACATGTACATCTCTTATAGTCGTTTAACAAACTAAAAAAAACTTACGCTGACACACTTGGCTTACAATCTGAAGACTGCACCCTCTCGAGGAACAAATCTGAATAAGAATATGACTCCAAATATCTCCCAAACATTTCCTTGGACGGTTCGGAACAAGTTCGTAATTTTCTTGGCATACTATAGTTGCAAAATATCCCTCTTCAAAGCCTTCCCGAAGCTGTTGGTCTGATGGACGGTAAAGAGGGTCATGTCGATCTCCTGGTTCGTACAGAATTCGCTCGGCGTTCCTTGGTAGGAGTTGTAACGCAGGACACTTACCCAAAGAATCTGGAATGGCATTCAAATATGTTTTTAACAGAGAAAGCTTTAAATTTACTCCAGGATTGCCAATATATGGCGTTGAATTTAATGTGTTCAATTTTAGAATTTAAAATGTAATTTCTACTTCAAACATCTTCTAATCTTTGAATTAAAGGTCGAAAATAGCAATATCAACATCTCGTGTAAACCTATGGGACTGATGTGAACTGACGAGGGAAATTTTGTAAAATGCAATCGAAACGAATCCATTGGAGAGAATTCCTTAAAGATCCCTGGTTACGTACGATTTTTTGTGTACCTAATACCTCTAGTCACATTTGATCTATGGCAACCGTACGGCGGCCGTAGCTTCCCGAAATCGAGAGAAATATGCAGCATAAAATATAGGAATAAGCAGTACGATGTAGATTTTCTTTTCGATTTTATGAAGCTACGGCCGCCGTACACCCGCCGTAAAGCAAATGTGACTGAGGCTTAATTCGTAGTAGATATTCTGCCTAGTACTGCATAGTTTGCCCTGTGTTCAATTCAACATTTATTGTCATTTATCGCTTCTTCTGTCCGTCAATTCAAAACTGCAGGCAATATTGCAATAAAAATTTGATTATCTCAAGAATAGTCGAGCTTTACATTGTAACATGGCTAAATAGGAGTTTTAAAATGAATGTTTATTTGATGATCTTAGAAAGAATACTTGGTTGGTACATGATTGGGAAGCTTCTATAAATTGGATATAGTTGATATGGCTGTATAATTATTTTTTCGAACTCTCTCCGCGGATTTATCTTTTCCGGAAGCTAAATTTTAATGGTAACATTATTGGCTTAATATGGTACTTTGTGGGATCCTACATACCCTATCTTAGGTTTTAAAATACTTTATCTCATCCTACATTTCCTTTCAACGCACCTCTCCTTTCAACGTATCATACTTTACCTTACCTTTCATTGTACTTAATTCCCTCTCCTTTCAACGTATCATACTTTACCTTAAGTTTTATTGTACTTAATTCCCTCAGTTCAGTGTCTTTATTTCCTCCACATAGGTGAAGATTTAAACATTACATATAATTACAGACAATTCACATTAACAAATTATTTACATTTGTACATATTATTACATATAGATTTACATTTAGAGTTTTTACATTTCCGTTTGTTTGATAACTGTTTTAACCATTAGATCAATGTAATATGCACTATTCAATAGGAACTGTTCCATTGTACCATCTTGGCAATTTTGAAGTACATCAGTCGTGCTTCCTAGTAACGTTTCTACTATGATATCTTCAGTAGTGTTCAATAATTGAACTGATAAATCAATAGGTAGTATATTAACAATACCATCTAAGAGTTTCTCTCTCAAATAAATAACTCGGACATGTTGGCAGTGAAGAACAAGGTGACTGACCATATCAATTGTTAGCTTTTTACATGCAAGGCATTTCGTTTCTTTTTCGGTAAAAAGTAAAAGGAGTGCAAGTAACTGGCCAAATCGCCAGGTAAACATGGGATATTTTAGACCAAGTTCCCAATAAATAATAGGCTTATACTCGATATGAACATTTGAAAACCGTTGTAATCTTGGATTAATGTGGACAGTCTCTCGCCATGTTTTTGATTCTGTATACTGAATTTGGCCATTTACTAATAATTTCCATTTTCCTTTGTCCATAATTCTATGTTTAAAAGTATTTCCTTCCAAATAAGTTAAGAATTCTTGACGGATAACAGGATATGTATCTAAAATAGACATGACGTCACTTAAAAAACCCTGACTATGCAGATTATGGACATCTCGTACAATCGTGCTCGCAAGGCGAATTATAAATATTTTTTTCTGTATTAAGATGTCACTTAATCTGCATAGTCGTCCTAGAAACATTAATTTTAATTTATGTATATAAGATTGCACTGAATATTGCCCCAGAGAGCTTATCACAGCTCCACTCGGTGTACGATTCACCATACCCTGAAATCGTTTTGCTATGTGACGCTGTGTAATCTCTACTGTTTCAATTTCATTAGGACTTAAAGAATACCATAGTTCACATCCGTACATTGCCGTCGGCATAATGATACGATTCCATATTTTAAGACTTACTAATGGGTTAAGTCCTCCATTGTACATTCCTATGTTGCATAAAGAGTTAAAACACGCTCTAGCTTTTTTATTAGCATCTATCAAGGCAGGTTTGGAAGTGAGATTTTTGTTGATAATATTACCGACATATACTTGTTCATTTCTGGTAGGTATTGGATCCTTACCTAATGACCAGTTTGAGTTACACTTATTTAGGTTTGATTTCCCAAAGATAATTACAGCACTTTTGCATTGTTTCAAAGGTGGACCAGCATGATATACTAGTCTCCAACGACAGCTTAATTCCTTTACCTTACAATGTATCTTACTTTACCCTACCTTTATTTCACCTTACTTTACAAAGTACATTACTTACCTTACCTAACCTTTTAACCTACCTTACCTTCCTTCCTTAATTTACCTTATAACGTACCTTTATTAACCTTAACTTACCTTTCTTTACAAAGTACAGTTTCCTTTTATCGTTGAATCACTTTCAAACACTAGGATTTTTTCTATTATTGGCATTGATGGTTCGGAACTTACGACTTGCTCTTTTGATCGATATTAATCTGTGGAATATTCTCTTTTTGCGAGTGCCTCTATCAAAAATATGAACTTCTCACTTAGGTAAATACGACAATAATTTGGGAACTTAAGTATCAACTCCAATTGAGTAAGCTTAAATGTTTACCAATTTTCTGTAGTAGCCATGGAAATGCAGTTTCATTATGTCAAAATGAGCAATCAAGCTACACAAAAATTCCATTGACAGATTAGAGACAGTAACTACAATTGTACGAAACACATTATCCGATTGTAAAAATTCCCTTGATTACGACAATTTATAGATTTGTGATAGAACACATTTTATACGATTGTAATTAATTACTTCAAACTTTTAAAATCATCGTACTTACTGTTAATGCACAAATAAAGACAAAAACATGTTAATGTATTTCTTAGCGACATGTTCTCATCCTTGAGACATCCTAGGTATGTAAATAAGCTGCATGGTAGTTAAATATTCAACATAAATCGTACATGCTATTTGACAAGCCCGTTTATACTAAATCAAAAACAAGGCATTAAATGACAAAATATCACCATCAGTTATTGGAAGGTGTAAGAATTTGTTACATTCGCCGAACCCCGAACGCCGACCGCAGAACGCCATCCACAAAAATGTTAGAGTATATAACAAATCAATATATCACCACTTCTCAGTGGTGACATTAAATACAAGTGATTTGCACAGCAGAAATTAGCCACTTTTGACACCCCTTTGAAAGTGTCTTAGTAGTTCTCTTCAGGTCTGTCTTGAGCAGCGTATCAGTTCCATGTCAATATTACTGTATATATTGAAACATTAATTAAAAATAGCATTTATCATCACGACAGTCACCTTCCTTAAATGGCGGCCCGAAATAATGTATTGTCAAACAAAATAAAATAAGTTCATCAAACTATCAACATTGTCTCTTCCTAGCTGTTCATTTATATTTGACGTCACGATTGTACCAATGACGTCACTTGCTTAGATACAAAATGGTGGACGGGGCTGTCGAAATCTAAAAATAAAATTTCGAGTAAGTATGTTGTGTTTTAAATTGATTAAAATATTATCCTAACAAGTATCATTGATCGCATAAAGTATTTCATCCCCAGACAGGCATAGACCGGTTGATTATCAGTTTATCCGTGCGTAAACTCTCCGTTTTCAAAATAAATTTCAATTTTGCCAGGCAAATTTTGACAATTTTATTTTTAATATTTATAATCCATAATCATAATGCTTTCATCCCCTTGAGATTCGGGAACATATTTCCATTTTTGGGTCTTTTTGAGACATTTTAAATTCATCACTTTTCCTGCGAAATAGCCAGAGAATCATGTTCCAGAAATACACCTCCGTCTTGTGTAGTTCTAGTATAAGCCTACATGTCTATATTATGTTGCTTATAGAATGTGGTCAAAACTGTATATAAAAGATATATAATATAAACAGCAATAATTAATTTTTGAAATGTGATATTTTCCACGACAATATATTCGTCATTTTGTCAGAGGAAAATTATTGAATATATCGTTGGTTTGAATTCCTAGATGACTGAGATGATTTCTTTAATTCCCATTGGGAATATTGAACATAAAATATATATCAGCCTCATCAATATGCCGCTTTTGGCATTCAGTTTTCTTATGTGTTGTCGACATTCAATAATTATTCACCAAATCTTCTTTCAGACTAGCTTGCAACGAGGACAACCTGACTGATACACTACACTAGCGTGCATAACTTCGTATACACAGACGTGGACAACCTGGTTGATAGGGCAGTGCATCAAGGTGTATAATCTGATCAAAACGATGAGTACTTTGACCAAAGCAATAATAGTGACTACTGTTGTGCTTCTGTTTACACGTGGAATCTGTGGTCGCCATGCTGTTGAAGCTTCAAAGAGAGATATCGTTAAAGCAGAAACTGGTAATAACGAAGTACTTGAAGATGATTTAACGTTACCAGAACGTTGGAACGAGGAAGGTCCCATGGCAGATGCAATGTTATACATCTCAGAACGCTCAAGGAGAATGTTCATAAATGACTGTCTGAATGGTAGATCAGCATGTACTTATGATTTAGTAGGCGAGACGGGGAAATATCGATGGAATTCAGATCTTTCTATCGAAGCTAAAATCAGATTTTGGAAATTTTACGAGTGTACGCTTACAAAGAAAAGTACAGACTGTCCTATAGACGGTCAATGGTCAACATGGTCAAGTTGGCACAATTGTAACGCTACGTGCGGACAAGGTGTACGTATCAGAGACCGTGAATGTGATCATCCAAAGCCAAAAAATAATGGATTCAAATGCTCTGGACCACTAAAACAGGAGAAATTATGTGATGGAGCATGTATCACAGAAGACAAAGACGTATCAAAGTTAAGCCCCCCTCAACAAGAAGCGTATGCAATTCTAAGAGCGAAACACGCAGCACACCCTTTACTTCTGGCTAAGTGCTATACTAAGCACTGCATATATCGTGACGTTCAACATATCATTGACAAGACAGATGCAGATGTGTACTGGTCCGCCCTTCACTGTTTTAAATACGGAAATGCTTGTCCAATCAATGGAAAATGGTCTGAATGGACAGGGTGGGGAAAATGTAATGCTGCTTGCAATATGGGTATCAAAGTAAGAACCCGGATGTGTAATCAACCTGCTCCTACCGCCAATGGAAACTGGTGTGAAGGAGAGTCAATGGAGAGAGCACCATGCGAAATTCAAACATGTGACCCTAGTTCCATAGGTCATTGGAAGCAATGGGAAGCATGGGGATTGTGTACTAAGACTTGTGGAGGTGGAGTATCAGTTCGAAAGAGAGAATGCAAAGATACCCGAGAATGTGAAGGTGAAGAAACACAATCATCGCCATGTAAAAGTGAGAGGTGTTCCGTAAAGGGACAATGGGCAAATTGGGGTACTTGGAACGCTTGCTCACGACAATGTGGGCTGGGAGTCTCTCTAAGAGACAGGACATGTAGTAATCCTATACCGTCTGGAAGTGGCCAGATTTGCAAAGGACCGGGTACCGAGATAGGTTATTGCTACAAATCACCATGCGTTCATCACTCTGAAAAGGTGGCCGTATTTTCCGGAAACAGTTACATCGAATACTCCGAGCCTTCCATGGTGGCGAGTAGGACCCTGATTGTCTATATCCGCTTTAAACCAAATAGCAACGGGGGAATTCTTTACCAAAGCTTCCACAAACCAGAAGAATGTAAAATAATGTTAAAGATTTGTTCAAACAAAATTGTCCTGGAGCTGATCAATGGTTTGGTTGTGCTTGATTCAACGATGGGAGACGCCAAATTGAAGATTACCTCAACGGCTAAGATACTATTGGACAGATGGAACACGGCATTGGTCACATTAACAGGGCAACAAGGAACACTGACTTTAAATGATAAACATCACTATTTTGGCTCATACACAATGGAACCTTCAACCGATTATAACATGCCAACTTTAATTGGTGTCGGATTCACAGGCGCAATTTCGAAGCTTACTATTAATTTCCGAGCTGTGCCACTTAATAAACGGATCAATTTCTGGAAAGGCCACGGCTCACCTCTAGCTTTGGAACATGTAGAGTTTAATCCTGCTGATATCGAGGCGACTTTACCTGAATTTAACGGTGACGTATACTCGCAAATCTATCATATCCATGACACAGCGAATGAGCACAGCGTCCAGTACAAGGTAATTGTTAAACCAAAGGAAACCCTGGCTGGATATATTGTTTATAACGAAGGCGTGACTAGTGGAAGTTTCACGTATTTAAAGCTTGATGAATCTGCTCTGAAATGCTGTGTTAATCCAGGCTCGAATGAGAAAGAAGCATGTGTATCAAGTGAGAATATCCTCCCGGAGAAATGGTACCTTATCGAATGTACGATACAAGAAAATCACATAGAGATTAGAGTTGATAACAACCCACCCGTTGAGACTATTATCAGTGGTCAGCCTTACCTCCCAAAACCAGATTGGTACGTCGGTGGAGTTCCCGAGGAGAAAGACGGATTAAAACTTGAATCTTCAAGTAGGAAAACTCAAGGGTTTGATGGCTATATCGATGCTTTTGTTATTGGTGATCAGCACCATAATATGGCACAGACCGCTTTAGTTAGTCCAAAAGGTTATGTCAATGCAATGGGGATGTCCATTGCTGAACGATTTAAAGATCTTTATGAACCTGCTGCGAGCATTGTACTGCTAAGATGCAGCTACGCTAGATACGCAGCAGCCATCAATGGTACACCAGTGACTGTCATGTGGTTAAATGGTACACAACTTGTACGTTTTGATAACTTTGTAAAACTTGAACCAGATTCTCCAGCTGATAAGGATGTTAGTGTTCTCAGAATAGACCCACCAGAAGGCTATGCCCATCAATACGAAAGTTCGTACGAATGTCTGATTTTTGCAAATAATCAATTCATCTTAAAAGCGTACGCATTGACGTTCAAGGATAAACACCTCGACACCGAAGAAGAAATTATTGATAAAGCCGAGAGAACTATTACTATAACTGCCATTGTGTTTGGACCAATATCAGTAGTCATTTTGGCTGTTGGTATTATCGTTACGCTACGCGCGAAAAATAAAAACGCGCGAAAGGAAGAGTTCAAACGGACTTTCGAGCGCTTCGCCGACGAAGTGGCCAATACTGATGAGGATGAGCCTATCAGAAATAATAACGATGGGGAAGGCTCGGCGGGTTCGAGTTTAATGTCCCTGGCAAGAGCAGCGATAAAAAGGGAACACATGACGACAATACCATCGGGTCTATCAATAGGATCCTATACACCGAACAGAAATATCAATATGTCTCAAAGGAGATCGGATGAAGCCGTGGACACATTAAGGTCACAGGGAATTTCCAAATACGGCATGGAAAATAACGGCCTATTGGCCAAGGACAGTGACAGTGATAGCGAGGATGATACAGTGTTCTCATATGTGCCACCTAAAATAACCATGGAAAGACAGATATTCCCTTCGCTGCCGACGGGAATATCGAACAATGTCAATGAAAACAAAGGTGGACATGTGCCGACAAACGTTCCTTCATCACCATTTCCAAAAGTTATGTTAAAGGCAAAAATATCAGAGTCTCTGTTGAATTAGCTTCGTGAGCTGAACTAATCAGTCATCTTATCAAGAAGGTTGAACGTTGTAATTTGTTATTAGCCCGTGAACAAGCTGTCGTGATGACTTACTCGGCCTATTACTATGTCTGATGTGATGACGTCTTTCAAAAACCCGAGAATTCCGCTTATCTTTTGGTAATACCTAAAGTGACTAAAGCCGCATTCACGTCATTAGCTCAGTCCGCATATTGAGAATAATTAAAGGAGCACTATTTCTAAAACTGTGAACCAAAATTATAAGAATTTTCATATGTAGAAAACTCGGTAAATAATAACACCATCAATTGTATTTAGACTTTGATACAAACCTTCTTTTCTGTACATATTAGAGCTTTGAAAATACATTTACTCGCCTCGTATATTTAATTGCCTTTAAGAATATACCCCTTATAGTTTGTACATGTTAAACTGCTTACTAGGTGAGTGATTTCTTTCAAGACTTGGTATTTTGAGGAATAAAGCTTCGTATCAAGTCTGTTGATGGTGAAAATCGCAGGCTGAAAAACAGATTTGGATATTTTTGATACGGATCCACTTTAAGATTGTAATCTTGTTAGTTACATATTATTCTGAAATACACTCTCTCCATTAATTTGGCAACAGGAAGTTTTCTTTGGATAGCATATTTATAGCATGTAAATGTTTGAATCTTAATTTTGCAGCGTTATTTCAAAGTTTGGACATGTATGGCTATGATTTTTTCAAATCGCCAATCATTAATAAATGATCAAAACAAGAAATTCCGTTGCCAAATTTATGGACGGGAGTGTGAATAACACGGCAAATTCAAATTCGCATTTCATGTATTAGTAATACAAATATTTTAAATATACTAAAAGGAAAGTACCATAGGTACACGCAAATTATAAAGATTGAATTTCAAATCTTACCATTTGCTTCACTAATCAATCCAATCTGTGCTAGCATTTCTTCGGAGCGAGTCTGTTTTGGTTGCATACATACTGTAATAAACCCGCTCGAGTATTTGTACAGCTGTGTTTCATATGTTCATCTCCAAAGTCAGTTTGAGATGAGATAGACTTATAATAGATATGTCATATAGGAATTCTTATTTCATTTTAAACCAAGAGATCTCAGGCATGTGATGATAGATACAGTTTAAAAGTTACAAATGGTTTGCATTTGAACATTATATTACATCCAACATTGTGATTTTTTACTAATAGCCTTCGTTATGTAACACCTTGTATTTCTATTTAGAAGTACACGTTTACGTACAATTTGACCAAATAAAATACATCGGACGCTCTTTAATATATCACTTTAGACTTTTCATTTGATATTATATCCTAGTACTATGAATAACATTTATAAATTTTACTGATTTACATTAGATAGAAATAAACATTAACGTTTATCGACATGAGAAATTCAAAATTCGACATGTAGCTGACGTAGGAAATGTGACTGCAAAAGTATCCGACCGCAGAAATTCTACGGCGAGCGTAGCGTAGAAAGAAATGTGACTGGCGTGTTCATGAATTTTTGCTTCGTTTACTAGAATGTTTATTTACATATGATGGCAAAAACCAAAACATATAAACATAATAGTAAACATCACAAAGTTACACATCGGCCGACTTCATAATGTCATTGGTTTCCACATATATATTCATTTATGTGATATCCAAAGAATAATTCTTAAATTTGATTGGTTGAAGAGCTTTTTATGTTTTGTTATTTTATTTCATGCCCAAAAATGCTCTATTCAGAATCTAAAACAGATGGAACTAAATTATTGCTATTGTAAAATATCTTTCTTAGTTCTAAGATCATAAGAACAACTATTATAATACTTATTATAACTAACACTAAGAAAGGGGGATATGGAGAACACCATAATTGTAAAAAAACATGAGTCAGTGGGTAAGATTACAATCACATTGAATTAAGGGGCATGTGGGATGCGAAATAATTACAAATACACATGGAGTCAACTATGACTTCGTCACATAATAACAGTGGTTACACAATATAATTATATCACTGGCGCAGTCCTCACTCTCTTATTAGTCCATGGCCTACAGGTGACTAAAAAATAATATAGGAATATCCTATGGTTTTGAAAAGATATCATTTATATCCATGAGTGGATATCGATATCTTTACGAGTAAGCGCAGCGAATGAGTGAAGATATTGATATCCATGAGTGGATATAATTTATATTTTTGAAAAACCATAGGATTGTCCGTTTATCCCATGGGAAATCTTAAATTTTTTTTTAAAATATTTCGAAAAAAGTTTTTGAGAAGAAAATTTGAAGCAAAACATTTTTGAAAAAAGATTTTGAAGGTTTCAAAAATTTTGAAGGAAAACATTTTTGAAAAAAAATTTTGAAAAAAAATGTTGAAGGAAAAGATTTGAAGGAAAAAAATCTAATAGGAAAAAAAAGTTGACAAAAACTTATTGAAAAAATCTAAACCATCGAATATCACTTTTGAAACCATCGAATATCACTTTTGAAACCATCGAATATCACTTTTTGAGAAGTGATATTCGATGGTTTGAGAAGTGATATTCGATGGTTTGGGATTTTTTGCTAAAATATGATATCTTGATCCACATATCAAATATATCTTCACCTGATATTCGACATATATCCTTGTAACCATTGGATAACAAGCGATATTCAACGGAAGTCACATGACTGTCTTCCAGTCCAGTGTAATTTCAATTTATATATCCCCGGGAGTGCTTTACTATAACCATGGGCTCTATGACATCAATAGTTTCTTATTCCATTAAAACGAGTGAGGAATGTTACAGTGAATAATAAAACAAATATTTAATTCTATTTTCGGTGAATACCCGTGACACTTTCATAAGATGATATTCCACTAGCCCTTCGGGCTCCTGGAATATCACTTGTAAAAGACTGAAAGATGCACAGGTATTCGCCTCAATAAAATTAAATATTTGCATAACAACAGTACATGGTTGCATAAAATTATATGATATAATATTATACAAATATTGAATTATGTGGAGTTGAATATCTATATATATTTCTGAAGGTGAATTCACCGCAGCCCGAAAGGCGAGGTGAATACATCCCTAAGAAATATATAGGGGTTATGCACTGGGAGGTTCTGGATACAGGGAATATCCCGAGGGATATACACTATATTTTCCCGAGGGACCGAAGGGACCGAGTGAAGATGTATTGTATATCCCAAGGGATATTCCATGTATCCAAACCGACCGTGCATAACTGGTGTATCTCATTTGAGTGGGTTTAGAGTAGATATAACCTTTTCCACCTTTTTCAAATGACAAGATATTTATATTTAACATTTTCGTCTTTTTGTTCAATACAATGAAATTGTAACAATTAAACTTAAAAAAAATTAAATTTTAAAATTAAAAAATTAAAACTTTTGATATTTAAACTTTTTTAAACTTTTGAAAAATTCCCGGGAGCGGGATGGATATATTATATCTGCCCACATTTGGCCTGGAACGGGACATATACAATATATCCTGCCCGCTCCTCAGATACGATATATATTCCCGGGTGATATCTACCCCAAACCCACTCAAGTATGAGATACATACAGATATTAACCGATCACAGAATTCAATATTTTCCGATTGGTCAGTTCTTGTGCTGTACCAATCTATATTGCTACTGAGATTGTCCCCATTGATCATCTTCATCGCAATACAGAAAATATTGGTACATGTACGGAGGGAAAAATCTCAGTTTGCAATACAGCGGATCAAACGATAAAAACGTTATTGAATGATTTGAAGTGCATTACAGGATATATTCTGTCTCGATATTCTGTATTGGTTCCAATACGGAATTTCTCGAGCAGAATATATCCTGTATTGCACTTCAAATCATTCAATAACTTATACACACGTTTTCTAAGCAGGGAGACATGGAATACCTCAATTTATTTTAAGTCACATGGTAACTAATTGACCAATGAGAGAACGAATATCACGGCATGGAAATAATAATAGATTTTATTAAATCACTGTCATATTCCTCACTCTCTGATTGGTCCATGTTTTACATGTGACTAAAAATTACAAGCGATATCCAACGGAAGTCACGTGACTTCCGTTGAATATCAAAAGGTATTCACCAAGGAGGATTGGCTCCCAGAGTGCAACATCGATATTCTGTCCCATATATGAGCATGTCGTGATACAAAATTCGAATTCAAGCATCCGCCATTTTGTTCACTTCAACATTTGAATCGTGAATTTTGATCTTATTTCCTCACGAAAAATTCCAAAACTCACAAGAAATGATCGAGATATTAGTTCGAATCTTTTGGACCGTTTATTTTGAATTTATAGTCGGTTATAATTTCCGAAAATAACGACATTTCGACGTTTTCATTGTTGGAAAATATCGAGTGTCGATCCTGGGAGCCAATCCTCCTTGGGTATTCACCAGCTCACGACTTATTCCAGTGTAATTTTAATTTTGATTTTTTTTATCTTCGGGTTACTAGAATGAGTCCATCAGATTCCAATGAATCATTCGTTCACTGGTATCAATGTATTTGCAGTCCATCATTTATTGTCCGGAGAAATAGTTTTTAGTAATGTAGAATATGAAGACAGGGGAAGAACAGTTAAACCCTAGGCTCTTTGATTATGGTCCACAATGCTATATATTCAGGAAGACACCGATTTTTCGAATTCTATGCAAAACTTTGCTCTACATCCCTTAGCTACCCACATGTCACCATTGCCATCGTCAAAGCCCCATTTATCGTTCGTACATTTCGTCCTGAAAACAATTTCAAATCACAAATTATAGAACAGCCATAAAACAATAATATAAAATCACACAATTTACAAATAAATGCAAACAAAAACACAACTACAAACACATGCCTGTGCATTTGGCCAATACAATTCATGTTTTAAAAACGCTGTTTTGACTAAATAAGTTACTTTTCTCCTTCAGGTTTTAAGACGTTTATACGAATGATACCATTTTTCTAATAGGCCACATAAATATACAACATATGAGATGTTTTTACACGGGCGTTCTAAGAAACTTAGATAAACAAATCACATTTTCGAATATGAACTTTAATCAATGGTACTATTCTTTATCTCACCTCGACATTCGTGTCGTAACTGTTGGAGGGCCAGAAAAGTCCATTTCACGAAGGAATGATGCATCATCAAACACAGAACATGTGACGTTTCGCCATCTTACACTTGAACACGAGAAGCAGTGGGAACCTAGTGACAAAAAATATACGTACATGTATAAGTCTTGTTGCACAATTCCTTTATGGCTCAGCCATATTTGCAGCGGGCAGGAAATGAGATATTTACAAAATCTACCCTCAACCAGTCTTCTGCTTGGACTACTTGGAGTATGGTCACATGAGATACGGGGCAGCTATTCTTTCGATACTCAACCTCACGGTTTTCTTGCTTGCCGCTCGATTTTGGCCGCCTTTTTTGAAATCGTGTCGCACGGGACTGAGGCTAGTTTCATATTTAGACATTGATCCCCAAATTAGATCAAACAAGCTCGCCGTTATACGAGGCATTAACATGCAACATGTCACCAACTGCCATTTGTTATGGACGCGCCGAAAACCAACCGCCAAACACCATTCGCAAAAAGTTTGGTGACCATAAGAATATGTCTCCACTTATGGCGGTGATATAAAAATTGTAACAGTTATTTGGTCTGTAAATTAAGTCATGTGATTGGTCAATACCAAATAATATGAATAATTTCTCAGTACTCAAATGCCATTTTAATTGTGGTGAAGTCATCTGAGAATTTACCTGATTCTACACTCTATTTCAAAGGAGGTTTCAAGAACGTTACGTTTCCCCAAGTTTTATTATATTTACTCATTTGGCGCACTACAGTAGTTTCTCATTTTCTATTGTGTGTCAATAGTGGTTGTGTAGTAGTTTCTAATTTTCTAGTATGTCTGGTGGTCTTACAGCATTGTCTAATTTTCTAGTATGTGTCAATAGTGTTCCTACCTGTGTTGCATCGGTCACCCTCCATTCCGGGTGGGCAGAGACACTTAAAGTTCTCTCCAAATGTGTTGATACAGACAGCACCTTCCCCGTAGCAGGGCTCTGTGCTACATGCGTCCTCTGAAATAAACGTAATCTAAGGAATAAAGGTCGAGATTATCTGGTTTAAGTATAATTAAAGACCCAGATTCTATTCTGTTCATCCTTAAGAAATACAGGAATCAAGCAGTTACTCAGGTCTTTGGCAATGGCCAGAAAAACCTGAGGTTATTTCTTTGCCAGTTATAATAATAGAATTGAGCAGCTGATCTTTGTTCTGATTCTCATATGATAAAGAATACATTCGTAACAGACATTACATTTACCGGTGTAAAAGAAATTATGGTCCCCTGGGGATCATGGTCCCCTTTCTTAAAGGCCCTTACTGGCCCTGATTGTGGATACGATAATAAGGGAAAGAGTTGTTTTTAGGTCACCATATAAATCAATGGAAAGTAGGACCATAATTTGATAGGACCTCCTACCCTTTTACACCTGTCTACAATGAAGATAACTAGTCATGCGCGCGTACCCCATTATTATGATAGACAAGTTAATCAATGGTTTAAGTCAATGTGGGACATGATATTTGGTTTACATGGAATTGTAGATTTTCAAAAATTTATCAGATTTTCATCAATTTTCGACCTATCGTAATTGAGGAAAAAATTGGGAAAATTTAGAGGCAATTGAAATGAAGTCAATTTACATTTTCATCCATATTAAAAGTATTTTTCTCTTTATGTAAATAAAAATTCAAATATAAAAAGGCTTTAACACGTAGTTCAATGAGGGAGCTAAGGTTGCCAAACTTTTTGAGTGGAGTGTACTATAAACGACGTTCTTTGGCTATTATGTATGGAAACATATAGATAAAGTTTCAAGATGATACATGTACTTTCTCCAATTTTCAAATAACGAGACCCAGAACGACAGCTTGTGATACGTTTTTCAGCAGTTGCCTTTTTAGTCTTAACAACATGTAACCATTGAGGAAAAGTATATTAAATAGTTGTGTAATATATATGATTTAAGTAAGCAAAAGATAATCACCATCATCATCGCATTTATTGTAGAATATAATGAGATGTGGAGAAAATAACGGGGAAAATAATACGACTTATAATGAAGAGGCATATCAATAGAAAAAATACGTGACGTTTACCAGCAGATTAAGGGCGACTTTCGAGCTTAACTTCCAATAAAGACCATGATAATGGTTTATGTATTTTTTACCCTATTAATAGGGTTAAGCTACACGTTTTTAGAGAACTTGTACGCGTTATATTGTGTTATGTTATATGATATTATATATGACCCCCACCCAGAGATTTCTCTTCTCTCAATTTATTTCTCAGGGACCCAAGTACAGCAATTTACCGGTCGATTCCTTTTTACTTAATAGACTATAAAGAGAGATCCGATATATATAGCAAGCAGGCTAAACAAAAATTGTCTCAATTTTAAAATATATTTGGCTCATGTCATTCCTTGTAATGTCTATTTTCAAAAAACAAAAAAGTGCATCATTTATTCCAGGAAAACTAAAGATTTTTATCATAATGTATGGTTAACATTGTTATTATTTGGGAGAATTTAAACATTTTTCATCCATTTTTCTACTTTGGATCAATAACAACTTAAGGTGACTGTTAACTTAATCGATTTTCAGAAAAAAATGAAAATTTCACAATCTTGAAATTTTCAAACTCTTCCTGAGAAGTCGTTTTTATTATTTCACATATGCTTGTGCACTGTAATCATTACAAAGACATCAAAGAACAAAAAAAAACGTTAGTTTGAGAAAAAAGTGCCGTTTAAAGAATTTGAGAAGATTTTTTTCTAGGAGTAGCCCGTGAAAAACCGCTGATTCAAAATATCTGAACATTTCAGAAAATATACTTCAAACATATATAAAAAACGAAGGAGCAACGGAAATTTGAAAAATTACCCGATAAAAAAATTGGGATCAAAATAAGGAAAAAAGTACACTTCTCAAATTGTTTTTTTTTCTATTTTTTTTAATTTGTATGAGAGATTTCAAAATTCTAAAGCTCCTTCCATTTTGGGCTATATTAAAGGGATGTTTCAGAGAAATTAGAAAAATGTTCAGGGACCTTTGCCGTGCTACTCTTTTTGTCAATTTTTCTGTCACATTTTCAGAGGACTCAAATTCCCATTCCAAAATGTTTACTGTTTCTATTTGCATTACCACAGTGAGCCTGGTTATATAAATGATAAGTGGAACTAAAAAATTGAGAGAAAATCCAACCAAAAGACAGTTAATTTTGATGGTCAGATTATACTGAAATGCCATGTGCTTCCTGGTTTCGGCCATCTTGGATTTTTGATTAAGTTATAAGTTACCTTAACCAATTTATAACATATTGTGAATCTTTTGGGAGATATTGTATTTGACATTGTAAGGAATAAATTGGTGGGTCAATGGTACACGTTGCTTGTAATTTTGTCACCCTCTGGATTCTGCCTTTAATCGGGTGAGTAATTCAAAGAGAAATAATCCTAAGAATGCCAAAAGTGTAAACGTTCACGTACAAGTCCTCTAAAAACTCCCTCATGTACGTTCACTTACCATTTGAGGGCCATTCGCAGTCTGATTCGACATCTGGGACATCTGAAATGACGTGTAAGAAACCATTGTTCATCATGGTATTAAAGTGAATTCAAAAGCTTATAAAAACGATCAAGTACGTTTCGGATGTCTCACGTGATTTCTTTAATAATCCCCGAAGATCACAATCAAAATACAAGTAGCGTACACTTACCATCAGTACAGTTTGGGCCTTGCTTATGAGGTGGACAAAGGCACTGCACTCCTTCATTCAACGGGATAGCAATACCTCCATTGCATTCTAAAAGCACACAAATATAAGCTATCCAACTAGAATTATATAACGTATACAACTTTACTCATTTTTAATAAATTTTCGAAGAGGTTGATTACATTTTTATAATTAGTTGATAGATAATGAGTGCGTCTGATCTATAGCCCGGTTGGTCTCAAAACTCAAGTCTTTATAAAATCACGGGTACTTTAAAAATGACGTTAAAAGCTTGAAATAGTGTGCTAGTCATTTTGAATCAAAGGAGAGTCAAATATAAATTGGCGATGTAACTTTGGGGAAAAGAGAGCAACACTTCTGGTAACGTCAATGCAATATATACATTTTCAACCGATAACCAATTCAAGCTGTATACATGTATATGAGGATTACCTGTATGTGTAGTTTTTGGGACGTGTGGTATATTTTGAGGGAAATGAAGATACCATATTTCCCAATGGATATAACCCATATTCAAAACCTAGCATCACATAACTAATTTGTCACATGGTTAGTTAGGTTTCACAAATGAAGTTATCGGGACACCCATATCCAGCAGAGCTGTTATGCACCTGAACCCTCAGTAGTCTAGGATATATGAGGGTTATGTTATGGGAGGTTTTGGATATGTGGTATATCCCGAGGGAAATATTTATATCTTACCGAGGGCCCGGAGGGCACAAGGTAAGATATCATATTTCCCGAGGGATATACCCCATATCCAAAACCGAGCATCACATAACTAACTTATCCTATGACAAGTGACTTTTATCTATGAGACATTGACACTGAACTCGGCTGATACTCCTTTCCTTTTTTTGACTGCATTGACAAAAAATGAAGCCAAAAGATCATTTAGTGGATCTGGTTCAATTGTTTCTATTGGTCTTAGCTCGCCTTTCTGTACAAGAAAGGATTTGAGAACGCCCATATCCAAAATGGTTTTTTGAGAGTTTTCTCATTTTCATTACTTTCAAGAAATTCTTAGACGTTTTGGTCTAGAAGAATATAGTCCGGAGTAGGGATACTAGCGGTTACCGTTGGTTATTTGGTTTTCTGTATAAAAAGCTCTTTCTCCTTTTCTGTCCCGTCGCAGCGCCATCTAGTGTTTGATAAATGAATCAAGGTTTATTCTCGATAGGGTAAGTACTAATCTATCAGGAAACATTTACAAGTTTGGTTAGAAACAGAATTTTTATAGATGGCGGAGTGATTTTTGAGACTATGTAGAGCAGAATAATTTTCTGAAACAGGTAGCTTTACGGTGGTAGCTCTCTCCAGATTCAGTTATCTCAAAAACGGTGTGGTCACCGTATGCTTATTTTGTAACGGCAAGCTAGACAAGACTCCAATGAACACTGGGCACTGTTTCGCTGAGCTAGATCTGTGCCCATGAATATATTATGAAATGAAACGTTATAATGGTCGTCAATGGGATTTTTTACTGCAATCTTGACCCTATTAGCAACAGGGTGGTGACAGTACTAGGGTGGAAAATAGCGTTATTTTTGTAAAAATTACACTTTCTTAGCAATGTGTACCTTGCATCTCTAAGAAAAATCAAATTATCTGAAGAATTAGCAATTTAGATTTTCGCTGATTCAGCATTTTTCATTTTTTACCTAAAAATCACAGGTTTTGACCATTTTTGGCCTGTATTTTGTTACAGGATAGCACAAGAAGGCTGTTAGAGCTGGTTTTAAGAGGTTGTTGACAGGCTTTTATCAAATTATTACCGAATTTAAGGATTTAGCCATCATCATAGCATGTAATACAGCTTTTTCCTTTGTGTCTGAATTTTTCTTGAAAATATATGACAAATTTGACACATTTAACCCAATAGACTGACTAAATATGGCTGAAAACAGTTACTAACATGCATGTAATTAAAACAAGAACATTGCTATGCAAAACTGATATGATAATTTAATATAGAAGCTCATTTACTGAAAATGAATCACTAAATAATGGCTAATTTGGGGTAATCTCTGATCAAAAATGACTAGATTTGACCATTTTTTTGTTTCATGGTTCAGTGATTTTGGCAATAAAATTATGGAAGTGCGAATAAACGTTTTGACATGCTAAATATTGTGAATTTTTGTTAAGCCATAGCGAGTAGCAGTATTTCTATTGCAAAAATGGTCAGTTAGGTATAAAACTGCATGGCCCTAAAATAAATGACCCCGGGGTTAACAAAGCAGCTATAAAGGCTCTTCTATTGGTGCGATTGGGCTTAAATTGCACAAAAAGTCTTGAAACACTCTTATGTTTAAGAAAAACAAGATTTCTGGCACAAAATCATTCAACCGTGTCACTATTAGAATATAGTCCGGAGTAGGGATACTAGCGGTTACCGTTGGTTATTTGGTTTTCTGTATAAAAAGCTCTTTCTCCTTTTCTGTCCCGTCGCAGCGCCATCTAGTGTTTGATAAATGAATCAAGGTTTATTCTCGATAGGGTAAGTACTAATCTATCAGGAAACATTTACAAGTTTGGTTAGAAACAGAATTTTTATAGATGGCGGAGTGAATTTTGAGACTATGTAGAGCAGAATAATTTTCTGAAACAGGTAGCTTTACGGTGGTAGCTCTCTCCAGATTCAGTTATCTCAAAAACGGTGTGGTCACCGTATGCTTATTTTGTAACGGCAAGCTAGACAAGACTCCAATGAACACTGGGCACTGTTTCGCTGAGCTAGATCTGTGCCCATGAATATATTATGAAATGAAACGTTATAATGGTCGTCAATGGGATTTTTTACTGCAATCTTGACCCGAAAATATCTACCGCCGTCTGCTTCCATTTTGGTAGTTTCGCTAAAGCGATATATTCTAACGAATTTTGACTGTTTCTACACCAAGCGAAAACGTTTTCCCGGGAATATTGGTGCGGGAGATATACAGCGGGAGCTATATATATGTCCCGCTCCTCCAAGATATCGATTTTATATCCCGCTGTTATGTACCTGAAACCCCACTTGTCATAGGATAAATACACCTATGTTCATTCATGATCGAATTAAACATGAACGTCTGCTAATGGTCCTTGTTTAGTATCGCTAACCCTCATGTACTATCACACCAAACTAGTTCTCACTACGTTCTCGAAAAAGGGCTTAAACTGTGCACGAATGGATTTGACGTACTAAGGACCCACTAAGAACCGTTTGGGATCTGTTTACAAACTTCATGAACCTACTAGAACGAGCAGGTCCTCCAGAACTTAGCTAGAGCATGCTAAAAAATTTCTGGTGATCGTCAAAACGTTGCCGAATCGGTTTTTAACGGTGTGCGAACTGAATGAACGTAGCTTCAACGTTCTACGATCTGTTTACGAACTTCATTGGCTTTCCCGGACGGGGAATGTGATTTAGAATTTTGAATGGCGACCATACCGTTCTGTAATCAGGTCACGAAGACCTTCTAGATTAAGGGACGGTTCATACTACGTTACACACCGACGTGGTGCGACCTGAACGAACTGCGAATGAGATGGACGTATTGAAGACTGTTTATGAACGAAGTAGCTAATTATTTTAGACATATATCCCGACCGCAGCCAGATTGAGCCCGTTTACGACATTTTCGTAGGACTGGCAAGAACGGGTAAGAACTAGTTTGGTGTGATAGGGGGGTAAAGCAATGAAAAATCACAAATCTAAACTCTATAGTTCTAATATCTTCGAACTAGCCGCCATTTATAATTATTCATATTCGTTTTGAAATATTTGAGTACCTTGATGAATGTTTTTCTTCCTAATGCGTTCATTTATTATCTTCATGAGTTAAGGACGTGGGTAAAATCACGATTTATTTGTATGCTGATTGTGCATTGACAACTTACCATTTACAGAACCAGTCGAGTTACCTTTCGGATTATCTCCTGGAAGAAAAATTATTCTTATTTGAAATCATGTCATAAAGAATACTAGATTCAATATAGTTCAGAACCCCGATTTAGGGATCTAGATTGAATTGGCATTTTGCATTATACATGTAGGGTCAGTTGAAAATTGTATTAATCTATTCATCTTACAAAACTAAAAATTAATGTATGTGGATTATGATTTGACAACTTACCGTCGATGGAATCAGTCGAGTTACCTGGCGAGCTATCTGGAAGAAAAATCATTCTTCTCTGTACATGTAATCATGTAATAATGTTAACACCAATTATTCATGTTAAATTAATAACTTTAACAAGGATTTAAATATCCTTCGGTCGTTCGGGGTACAGAAAACGTTTCACAGCAAAAAATGTGAATCAAACCACTGAATCCTGGAGTCAGGATTCATACAGGATTCATATGCACATATGAATCCTGTATGAATCCTGCCTCCAGGATTCATACAGGATTCGCTGTTTAAATAGTTTACAAATGAATCCTGCCTTCAGGAATCATACAGGATTCATATGCAATATAGTTTACAAATGAATCCAGCCTTCAGGATTCGTACAGGATTCATATAGAAGGTAGTTTGCAAATGAATCCTGCCTTCAGGAATCATACAGGATTCATATGCAATATAGTTTACAAATGAATCCAGCCTTCGGGATTCGTACAGGATTCATATAGAAGGTAGTTTGCAAATGAATCCTGCCTTCAGGAATCATACAGGATTCATATGCAATATAGTTTACAAATGAATCCAGCCTTCAGGATTCGTACAGGATTCATATAGAAGGTAGTTTGCAAATGAATCCTGTAGCCAGGATTCAAGCAGGATTCATATGCAATATAGTTTACAAATGAATCCAGCCTTCAGGAATCATACAGGAATCAAACGAAAATTGGAATTGATGTGTATGTTTCTATTCTAACACTCACATTGGCGTATCGCATATATTACGCCAAATGCGCACAGGCGTACCAAATGAATTCGAAAAATTTAATAAAAATGTGTAATTATTTAAAAGTTGTTCTGTGTGCTAATTTAAAATACATTGTTTTATTTATATTGTCTTCCCCGAATGGGTATATAAACTTTAAATATACATGTAGCCATGTTTATTGAAAAAAGGACATTCGGTCCGTTTTATTCTTATTGGTATTAACTCGCAAATGTCACTACTGGAAATGGTTTTGTGTGGCCATGGCAGGGCAAGAAGGGCCCCCGAGGGTCAAAAGGGGCCGTTCTGTAAGATAACTTCTTCGGACGGGAGGTTTTTTACCACAGACTTACAGAAGTGGTGCCGTTAAAAGAGTTTCTTCTTGGAGAAGGTGCCGCCTAAATGAAACAAAGTGCAATGGCCATTGAGATCGATGCTGTCCCTGTCAGGAGATAATATCAGGCGATGTATATTTGATGATAAACAAACTTGGTGGGCCATCTTGCCCAATGGTTCTTCTTATCCTGGGTCTCTTACTCCGCTCCTACGCCCATTTCTCATTTCTTAATGCTAATATAGAATGCGTCACGTGTTATGAAAGATTAGTAGGCCTCAATATTACAATTTGAACCCGATTTTGAAGCATCCTTCAAGATCGGTCCTTCACTGCTTTCATAGCAGCTCATGAATGTCACAATGCAATGAATTACTCTTGGGCCGCAGGGATGATTTTGAAGCACCCCTGTAAGCCTTTAAATTACATTGAAATGATAGGCCCTAGGATACAGTACTGCTTTTGCCGAGAGTCACATCGGCATGTTCCGATCGGCGCTCCGATCGGTGTAGTGTCGGCAGTTTGGTCGGCACACCGGTCGGCACTCCGATAGGCATCGCCATCGGGATAGTTCTGCCGATCGGCAAAGTCATCGGGACGGCATTCCCGTCGGCACAGTATACATCAATGCATCGGAGGATCGAAAAAAACATCGATAAACTCATAATGATATTTCTTGAGAGTTAGATTATTAGTTAGAAAGTTATATTCTTGAAACATATTCAATAAAAATAAGTTTATACTGAGAACTAGTTTTAGTAAATAATAACTATTGCCGTCTTAAAAATATAGAAATCCTTTTATAGAGCATTCTGTATAATCTATAAAATAATCTTTCAGACGGGCAAATCACAATGAGGACAAATGATTATTTAGTAAGATAAGTCTGCAATTATGTCTGTATACGTAGATTGTACGTTGAAGTTGGACCGTCGATGATTTTGATTGCGACATTGCGTGCACCTCTCAAACAAATAAGTCAAAGACAAATATATTTGAAATGTTTCCAGGATTGTTATTCGTTTGTTGTAATGCAGATTGACTGATAGACCATTGTAATGGGTTGTGCTTGGGATTCACACAATTATTCTATGATCATCTCAGGATATATTATATTTGATTTGAAATGCGGATGTTTACATTAAAGATCTTGTTTTCATTTCGTTAAAACAAAACTATTAGATTAGATATTAGCGTACCTCAATGGAAAAGAATCAAAAGATACCCCAATTTAACGCGCAGCATGATAATTTGTCATTTTGGAAATTCGTCAATATGACTAAACTACATGTAGCCCCCCGGAACTAGCCTTTCCAGTAAAACAAATGCGACAGATATCCAAAGAAAGTTACATTTTATTCTTGATTTCTCGGAATAATTGAAATGATAAACATATATAAATTGCAACTATTATTATTTTGCTCTCCAATTATGATTCAACGCCTTCCCTAAATTTTCTATCAGATCATCGATCCAAGACTTCAGCAAATATTTCAATCATATTTTGCGTTTTATCATCTTTTCCAAATGCTATACGCATATGGTACTACAACCACTTACTGACAGTGCTTTATCGTTATTTTTGCAAATATGGATGTTTACACTGCTTGTATCTTATTCTAGGGGGTTTTATATATCCTCACAATGTAATTATATATTTTTCTGTTTTGTAGGTTCCCGTGGGTAAGATACACACATGAACAATACGGCCCATCCTAAAGGGCACAGACCCGTCAGTGGCGTTCTTCAAGTATAGCCCGTGGAGATAGTTTTTGAATCTTGCCTCAAGTGGTGTGTTAATCCCATATTGGGCTTGAGAAAGGGGTATACACAGCTGCTCGATACAAGTGCAAACTATGAAATAATACCCATACATGCATAATATAACAATAGATAAATGTTTGGCATGCATTGCGTTTCTGTTTAATTGTTAAATTATTTCATAATTTATAATAAGCAGATAAGTTGCTTTTTAGGTATTTAGCGACATTAAGGACTGAGAACCCAGAGTCACACATTTCCTCGGATATTCCTCCATATTAAGCAGATATACCTGTTTGCATGTTTTAATTTTGATTTGATTTGATTGTTTGAATTGCATGAATTGATAAAGTCTTTCAAATGTCACCAGTCTTTGGGGGGGGGGGTGAGATTTCCTGTAGGAATTAAAATTAAAATAAGATTTATTACGATCTGTTTTGTTTGCATCATTGTATAACGTTGATAAAAGACAAGGGCAGCATTGGAATTACAAAATTGTGCGATTCCCTACCTCCCATTCATAGATTTAGTCTCTGGTCATGGTATTCAAAATTATATTTGTTCTGTCATTCTGATTTCCCGTGTCGGGACATTCTGATCTATCGGAGTCTCACTTTATCTAACCCTTTGATATGCCAAAGGATACTTGCTGTAGATCACACAATGGTGTCGGGAGATTAAACCAGTCAATGTTCCGATCGTCGCAATATTCGATACATCGAAAGATTTCACGGATTCATACAATTCCATGCATACTGTATATTCAGCACAGTATGCATGTACATTCCATATATCCTTCCAATAATAATTGCTGCATGTACATGAACTGGTGAAACCTCTCGGTGCATCGAATGTTGTGACGATCGGAACATTTTACTGGTTTAATCGGCACTGGAAATCAGAATGACAGGGGAATCGGGGACAAAATGATTTTTATAAGAGATACAATTTTGAATGTGACGAGAATAATTAAACCTTAATTGTAATAATTAGATTTCAAACACATGAGATACGATGATATGACAGAGTCCATGCGTTCTGAGCCTAATGTGACTGGCAAATAAAAACAGCCCGGAAATTTTTGAATTCCGAGGTTGTATAGTAAACTTTCTCACTTAATTCAAATAGAATTATCTATCGCATCTGTTTTCCTATACGATTCCGGATCACGAATGAGGGGAATTTTCATACTTTATCATTCCGTTCTTAATATATTGTATAATATATTTGTATTCTGTTTTACGGGTTCCCCTTGAAATTGGTTACAACAACACGGCAATTTATCGTATTATCTGTAAAATGATTGGTCAGTTATCGTGCTGTACAAACCTGTATTGCTACTGAGATTGTCCCCGTTGAGCATCTCCGTCGTTATACAGCAAATATTGGTACGGAGGGGCATTCTCAGTAGCAATACAGAGGATCACACGATAAAAACGTTATAGAATGATTTGAAGTGCAATACAGGATATATTCTGTCTCGATATTCTCGATATTCGGAATTTCTCGAGCAGAATATCCTGTATTGCACTTCAAATCATTCAATCACTTATAATATCACAGTTTAATGAGTCGTCAATAATTTAACACGGCGGTCTTTATTTTATAGTTTATGAAAATTGCCTCAAGTACAATCATGGGCTTTCAACTAGATGGTACAATGTCAAAATCTTATGATGATTTCTTCCGACCTATGTTTACTAACAAGAGAGGGGTACGCAGTTGCTTGAAGCAAGCATAATTTATGAAAAATCCATAGTCCGATAATTAATTAATTGGCACGAATCTGTTAATTGTTTTTGTTATTGTTACTTTTTCTAGACGGATTTTCAGGTATTATCTGCATTTAGATGGCTGATTATAAGGCATGAACATTTTTTCCAGTGTTAATTGTTATTGTTATTACTTAGGCAGGATCGCCAATAGAATTGCATGCTTTGTTTTGTTTTGATAGTTAGTTAAGAACTTTTGCCAGGTGAAGTATTCAATCCATCTACGCAAACGTGCATGTACTTTAGTAACATTAATTTCTAGGGCTTCAAAGTAATTTCCACCTCCTCCGGTATTATTTCTGTGGGAAAGGGTTTTCAAAAATAATTTTAATCTTTTGAGACCTTTAGGGGTATAGGATATAGGATCAAGTCACATCTCATACTTGAGTGGGTTTGGGGTAGATATCACCCGGGAATA